AACCCTAAACACCCAAACCCTAAACACGCCAAACCTTAACATCCGTTGGGGTTGGTGGGGTGTTGGGGTTTGTGGCTTTTAAGTTTAGAGTTATAGGGTTTGTAGTGTCTAGCGTTGTTCAGGTTTTGGGGCTTAATGCTTTATGGTTTTAGGGTTGGGTTTTTTAGGGTTCAGAGTTTTTAGGGCTAGGGTGTTTAGGTTTTAATTATTAGGGTTTTAAGGTTTGTGACTTTTAGGGTCTATAGGATTTTAAGATGCCCTGATTCCTTGATATCCTAAATCCTAAAAACCCCAATTCCTAACACCCCAACCCTCATGCTTCATCTTCACACCCCAACCCTCATGCTCAAATACCTACCTAAACCGTAAGGCCCTGAACCCCAAAGACCCTAAACCTTGAACCCTAAAACCCCAAAGCCCTAAAACCCTAAACCTTAAAAACCACAAAATCTGGGGCGGCGGTAACCCTCAAGCCTGGACATCCTGGGCCCTGGAGACCTAAATCTCAAACCTAATATCCCTGCAAACCCTAAACCTTAAAAACCTTGAAGCTTAAAGAATCCTTAAATCCTAAACCCTAAAAACCCAAAGCCCTAAACCCTAAACCCTAAAACCACAAACCTTAAAACCCCAGCAACCCTGAAAAACCCTAAGAACCCTGAACCCTAAAAACTCCCAACAACCCTAAACCCGAAACCCTAAACCCTAAAACCCCCTTAAACCCTAAACCCGAAAAACCCAAAGCCCTAACCCTAAACCCTAAACCCACAAACCCTAAACCCCAACAACCCTGAAGCCCAAACACCCTAAACCCTAAGAACCCTGAACCCTAAAGACCCCAACAACCGTCAACCCGAAACCCTAAACCCTAAACCCTAAAAACCCTTAAACCCTAAACCCTCCAAAAATATCAAAAGCGACTATACATATCCAAAAGCGACGATAACAAGAGTGACGGTATCGACTCGTATCGACAGATAGATATAGATATATATATATATATGTATCCTATACGTATATCATATCTAAGCGGGAATTACGATTTGTATCATTGCTCATTGAGAAATCTCCTTAAGTTGGGCGCCTGCCATGGCTTATGCGTAGGGATGCACATCTCAAAAAAAACCATAAACTTCCCTTGGTTAGAGCCTCGAAATCTGAATTCCGGAAATCCCAAGCCTGAAAATCCTAAACCCTAAATCTCTGAATGATAGAGCTACGCTAATTGCGCCAGCGAAGTTGATTTCTTCATCTATTCATTGATTTAAACCTCTTTTCTATATAGATTCAAATCATTTAAATCTTACGCTGAACCCTAAACCCGAAAAACCCTGAACTCTCAAAATCCTAAACACTAAAACCCTAAACCCCCTAAAACCTTAAACCCCGAAACCCTAAACCCTAAACACCCAAACCCTAAAAACGCTAAACCTTAACATCCTTTGGGGTTGTTGGGGTGTTGGGGTTTGTAGCTTTTAAGTTTAGAATTACAGGGTTTGTAGGGCTTTAAGTAGTTAAGGTTTTGGGGTTTCAGGTTTTACAGTTTTAGGGTTTAGGGCAGGGTCTAGGGCTTTTAGGGTTCAGAAGATTTTAGAATGTAGGGTTTAGGGTGTTTAGGTTTTAGTTACTGGGGTTTTAGGGTTTGTGGCTTGTAGGGTTTACAAACCCAAGATCCCTGAAACCCTAAACCCTAAAAACCCTGAACCTTAAGAAACCGTAAACCCCCTAAACCCTAAAGCCCTAAACCCTAAACCTTAAAACCACAAACCTTAAAACCCCAACAACCCTGAAAAACCCTCAGAACCCTGAACCCTAAAAACCCCCAACAACCCTAAACCCGAAACCCTAAACCCTAAAACCCTGAACTTCTTCAACCCTAAACCCGAAAAACCCAAAGCCCTAACCCTAAACCCTAAAACCACAAACCCTAAACCCCAACAACCCTGAAGCCCAAACACCCTAAACCCTAAGAACCCTAAACCCTAAAGACCCCAACAACCGTCAACCCGAAACCCTAAACCCTAAACCCTAAAAACCCTCAAACCCTAAACCCTCCAAAAATATCAAAAGCGACTATACATATCCAAAAGCGACGATAACAAGAGTGACGGTATCGACTCGTATCGACAGATAGATATAGACATATATATACATGTATCCTATAAATATGTATATCATATCTAAGCGGGAATTACGATTTGTATCATTGCTCATTGAGAAATCTCCTTAAGTTGGGCGCCTGCCATGGCTTATGCGTAGGGATGCGCATCTCAAAAAAACCATAAACTTCCCTTGGTTAGAGCCTCGAAATCTGAATTCCGGAAATCCCAAGCCTGAAAATCCTAAACCCTAAATCTCTGAATGATAGAGCTACGCTAATTGCGCCAGCGAAGTTGATTTCTTCATCTATTCATTGATTTAAACCTCTTTTCTACATAGATTCAAATCATTTAAATCTTACGCTGAACCCTAAACCCGAAAAACCCTGAACTTTCAAAACCCTAAACACTAAAACCCTAAGCCCCCTAAACCCTAAAACCTTAAACCCTGAAACCCTAAACCCTAAACACCCAAACCCTAAAAACGCTAAACCTTAACATCTTTTCGGGCTGTTGGGGTGTTAGGGTTTGTGGCTTTTATGTTTAGAATTATAGGGTTTGTAGGGTTTAAAGTAGCTAAGGTTTTGGGGTTTAAGGTTTTACAGTTTTTGGGTTTAGGGCAGGGTCTAGGGTTTTTAGGGTTCAGAGGTTTTAGGGTTTAGGGTGTTTAGGTTTTAGGCGTTGGGGTTTTAAGGTTTGTGGCTTGTAGGGTTTACAAACCCAATATCCCTGAAACCCTAAACCCTAAAAACCCTGAACCTTAAGAACCTTTAAACCCCCAAAACCCTAAAAACCCAAGCCCTAAACCCTAAACCCTAAACCCTAGAACCACAAACCTTAAAACCCCAACAACCCTGAAAAAGCCTAAGAATCCTGAACCCTAAAAACCCCCAACAACTCTAAACAAGAAACCCTAAACGCTAAAAGCCCTGAACCTTAAGAACCCTCAAACCCTAAACCCAAAAAACCCAAAGCCCTAACCCTAAACCCTAAATCCACAAACCCTAAAACCCCAACAACCCTGAAGCCCAAACACCCTAAACCCGAAGCACCTGAACCCCCAACAACCCGAAACAAGACACCCTAAACCCTAAAAACACGGAACCTTAAGAACCCTTAAGCCCTAAACCCTGAAAACCCAAAGCCCTAACCTTAAACCCTAGAACCGCAAACCCTAAAACCCCAACAACCCTGAAGCCCAAACACCCTAAACCTGAACCCCCAACAACCCTAAACAAGAAACCCTAAACAAACCAGAACCCGTAAACCCTAAACCCTAAAACCCAAAGCCTAACCCTAGACCCTAGAAACCCTGAACCGAACCCTAAACCTTGTAACCCAAAGACCCTAAACCCAGAACCACAAACCTTAAAACCCCAACAACCCTGAAGCCCAAACACCCTAAACCGACTTAAGAACCCTAAACCCCGCAAACCCTAAAACCCAACTTTAAAGCAACTCTAGAACCTTGAACGCTGAATTTCGGCTTCCAGAACCTTTTGCAACTCGAACCAAACCGGATCAATGCGTTGGATCTGCTCCCTTGGGCTCCACCTGGACTCGCAAAGATTCATATCCGGACAAGCAAGGCCTTACAATGGTTCAAGAAGCTGGAGCTCTGGTTCATCTGCTCGACGTGTGGTCCGGGATGGGAAAACTGCTAAACCACACAAAACAAACCAAACAACAAAAAAAGTCTTCGAATCCAAGTGAAACAGGGCTCAATCCAAAAAAGGCACAGTTCCCTTAGCTTCTGAGCAAATTCACGTGAAAATAATAAGAGGTGTGCAAGCAAAAGCTGGCAAATGGCCCCTCGAATCTTTTACAGCAGTTTTTCGGTTATTAAGGGAATAGCCAAGTTAGCACAATATTTGGATTTGTGCGATAATAGGGACCTGAGGACTCTCAACTGCGGGCCTTCCATTCCGCGTAAGACATGAACTGCAAGCCAGGTTCAAATCCAAGTTAAACCAAACTTAGGATACCTTACGTTAGAACCTGGGTTTTACCTAGAGGAGGACCCAATTCCTAAAACCTGTTGAAAGATGTACACATCTTGTCAGGAACCCTACCTGCCCCCCCCTTTGTCACAGTTCCAATAGTTTGACCATCTTCCAAACCCTTACTTCCCCGCTTCGGTAAGAGTGTGTTTTTGTTCCGTACGCTTTTTGCTAAGCACGTCTGTAACTTACGCGGCTGGCCAAGCAAAAACAACACACTCCGGCGCGTTTTTTGTTTTCGGCACGCGGCTGGCCCAGCAAAAAAGAATGCTCGGGGCTGCCAGGACGCGTTTTTTTTTTTTGGAACGCGGCTGATATCCGCTTTGGTTGGCATCAAGGTTCCTGCAGGGTCGTTGTTTTGTTGTTTTCTGGATAGAACTTGGTAGTCCAGGCCCATGGGAATCACCAACAGACTGGACGATCCCACTTGGCTAGATGGCCTAAAAGACTTTCCACAAGATTTGACACGGTTGCAGAATCAAACAGAAACAGTCCATGGTGCCATGTAAGCTTTAGAAATTCTAAGAAGCATACCTTGGACATTAACAAGCTCAATCTGCAAAGATCCAAAGGTTGTTTGCACAAACAGGGCTGCTTCCTTGTGTTTGGTAGTGGTAGGGTGGTTTTTCTTGTGTGGCTTTGCAATTCCTGCAGTGTGGCTAAGTGAAAGAACTCCACACTAACTGGCTGACCACCATGGAGCGTGGAACCCACCCCCCCCCCCCACCCCCCACCCCCCCCCACCACCCCCCCCCCCCCACCCCCCCCCCCCCCCCCCACACCCCCCACCCCCCCCCCCCCCCCACCCCCTAACCACCCCCACCACCCCCACCCCACCCCAACCCCCCACCCCCCCCCACCCCCACCCGAACCCCCCCCCCCCACCCCCCCCACACGGGAGGTGCTTCACCAGAAAGGGGCGCAGCCGCCACGTTTGTTATCCTCAACCTGAATGGGGCCAGGCACAACCAGAATGCGCAGCCGCCACGTTTGCTTAGCCTCAGCCTGAATAGGGGCCAGGCGCTTATCCTCAACCAGAATGAGGTGCAGCCACCACGTTTGCTTATCCTCAACCTGAATGGGGGCCAGGTGCTTATCCTCAACCTGAATGGGGTGCAGCCGCCACGTTTTGCTCTCCTCAACCTGAATGGGGGCCAGGTCCTTATCCTCAACCTGAATGGGGTGCAGCCGCCACGTTGTCTTATCCTCAACCTGAATGGGGGCCAGGTCTTTATCCTCAACCTGAATGGGGGCCAGGTCCTTATCCTCAACCTGAATGGGGTGCAGCCGCCACGTTTGCTTATCCTCAACCTGAATGGGGGCCAGGTCTTTATCCTCAACCTGAATCCGCCACGTTGTCTTATCCTCAACCTGAATGGGGGCCAGGTCTTTATCCTCAACCTGAAGGGGGGCCAGGTCCTTATCCTCAACCTGAATGGGGTGCAGCCGCCACGTTTGCTTATCCTCAACCTGAATGGGGGCCAGGTGCTTATCCTCAACCTGAATGGGGTGCAGCCGCCACGTTTGCTTATCCTCAACCTGAATGGCGGCCAGGTGCTTATCCTCAACCTGAATGGGGTGCAGCCGCCACGTTTGCTTATCCTCAACCTGAATGGCGGCCAGGTGCTTATCCTCAACCTGAATGGGGTGCAGCCGCCACGTTTGCTTATCCTCAACCTGAATGACGGCCAGGTCCTTATCCTCAACCTGAATGGGGCGCAGCCGCCACGTTTGCTTATCCTCAACCTGAATGGGGGCCAGGTCTTTATCCTCAACCTGAATGGGGTGCAGCCGCCACGTTTGCTTATCACCCACCCCAAACCCCCCCACCAACCCCAACACACCCCACACGACCCCCCCCCCCCCCCCCCCCCCCCCCCCCCCCCCACACGGGCGAGGTGCTTCACCAGAAAGGGGCGCAGCCGCCACGTTTGTTATCCTCAACCTGAATGGGGCCAGGCACAACCAGAATGCGCAGCCGCCACGTTTGCTTAGCCTCAGCCTGAATAGGGGCCAGGCGCTTATCCTCAACCAGAATGAGGTGCAGCCACCACGTTTGCTTATCCTCAACCTGAATGGGGGCCGATTGCTTATCCTCAACCTGAATGGGGCCCAGGCGCTTGTCCTCAACCTGAATGGGGTGCAGCCGCCACGCTTGCTTATCCTCAACCTGAATGGGGCCCAGGTGCTTATCCTCAACCTGAACGGGGTGCAGCCGCCACGCTTGCTTATCCTCAACCTGAATGGGGGCCATGGGGGCCAGGTGTTTGTCCTCAACCTGAATGGGGTGCAGCCGCCACGGCTTATCCTCAACCTGAATGGGGCCCAGGTGCTTATCCTCAACCTGAACGAGGTGCAGCCGCCACGCTTGCTTATCCTCAACCTGAATGGGGGCCATGGGGGCCACGTGCTTGTCCTCAACCTGCATGGCAGCCGCCACGCTTGCTTATCCTCAACCTGAATGGGGGCCATGGGGGCCAGGTGCTTGTCCTCAACCTGAATGGGGTGCAGCCGCCACGATTGCTTATCCTCAACCTGAATGGGGCCCAGGTGCTTATCCTCAACCTGAACGGGGTGAAGCGCCACGCTTGCTTATCCTCAACCTGAATGGGGGCCATGGGGGCCAGGTGCTTATCCTCAACCTGAACGGAGTGCAGCCGCCACGATTGCTTATCCTCAACCTGAATGGGGGCCAGGTCTTCATCAACCTGAATGAGGGCCAGGTTTATCCTCAAGCCCTCACCCCCCCCCCAGCCCCCCCACCCCACTCCCCCTCCCCCGGGCACTTCGGGAAGGCCCCCATAGCGGAATCCAAGGGCGCTCAGGTGTCCAAGCCCAAAATCCTTATCCTCAACCTCAATGGGGTGGAACCCACCCCCCCCCCACCCACCCCCCCTTCCACCCCCCCCCCCACACCCCCCCCCCACCCCCCTCCTCCCCCCTCGACACGTTGGCACTGCAGGATCAATGCCAACTTCTAGCTGATCACTTGGGCTGGCGGCCGCATGCATCTTTGCCTGAGACAGCTGTAGTGCATGCATGCTGCCACAGACAGTTGCAGATGCCAGCACAGCCCACATCACCCACGCGATACCTGTGTCAGATGCGCCGCGATGTCTGCCCATTCTTGTTTGCTCTTGCTCTGGATGTTGATCAAGAAGCCCACTGGCCAACCACCATGGGGCGTTGCGGTGCACCCAATGCTATGCCAAGAACACGTGATCGGTGACGTTTCTCCCCGTCGGAAACCCCAGCACAATGGCCAGACCAGCCGAGCGCCCAGAAGGCCCCTTTGATGAGCCTTAAATGCCAACAAAAGGCTCTCCATCCAGCAATTCGGATCGATCGCTTGGCATTGCAGGAAACTGTGCGTTACCAACGCCTGGAATTCATGCAAGAACAAAGCGATGTGCTGTGCAGTGGTCCTGTGGAGGCGACACAAGCCGCCCCACCTAGAGTTCATCGAAAGTTCAAGATCTTTGATGGGCGACAATGGGTGGAGAGATCAGGGTTGGGGGCACCCAAAAGTTGGATGGGTTCTTTGCAACCTTTCGAAGAGAGGTCGGCAAGCGTCCCATCAACACCACAGGGCCTTCTCCTGCTACGGCTTAGGCAATGGAGACACAACTTCATGAGCAAGTGCGCACCTTTCAGTTTTGCATTGTTTTCCTTTACGGATGCTTTAATGCGCAAGCTTGAGCGTGCTCGTTGGCTCCGTAAACGTGGGCAAGCTTGGCTAGTTTTGGAAAGGGAAAGGTTTGCCAGAGTTTTGCGCGTACAAAAAGAGCCGTGCGTTTTTGGAGTCGATTCCGGTGCATGGTGAGGCTGTAGGTGGAATCCAAGTCAGATCGGTTTAGATCAAGGCTTCGTTTTCAACGTGGTTGTTTGGCAGTTTGGTCTTGTGTTGCCTTGTGTTTCCGTAGACACAGTTTTGGGTGGCTTGTCAGCTTGATGGGTGGGTTTGCTAGGCCAGGGGACAAGCTTCTTTTAAGGGTGTAACACATCGAGCGGCGTGGCCTGGAATTGCTGCCTTGGAGCGGCGTGTTGGTGGCCGCATTTCCACTTGCGGACTGTGGGTGCCGGTTTGTTAGGCTGCGTACGCCTCCTTTGAAAGACGTGACGCCTCAAGGCGGACCGCTCTTGCTGCGAGGCCCCTTAAAAAGGTCGCGGCGCCTCGAGCGGCGCGGCTGACGCCGCGCCGCCCTGCGGGCGGCGCGGCGTTTTGTTGCAACACGCAAGAAAGAATTGAGTGAAAGAATGCAGAATTTCTTCGGCTCAATCTTCTGTCAAATTTCAGTGTGCCTTAAATTTCTGTTTGGCCATTTTAGCAAATCAAAGACAAGAGAACGCAATCGAAGCTTTGTCAAAAAATTCGAATGGAATGGAAATCGAGGCTGGGCGACTCTCAAGTTGTTCTGGCCATGAATGAGAAGAGGGGTTGGTGTGATTGTTTTTTTTTATGTTGCAAGAACTGCAAAAACATTGGTTTTTCTTTTTTGATCTTTGGAGAAGAAAACACTGGAAAGAAGCCAGAGTCATGAAACTTAGAGACAACTTTCTTCAGACTTGGCAGCAGATTCATGCACTTTTTTTTCAGTTCAAATTGCCTTTGCCCGTCTAAACAGATTTTTTCTCTTGCTTTTTGCTTAATGTTTTCTTTAATCTTTTGGTTGAGTTGCAAGCTTTAGAAAGAGAGAGTTTTAAGAAACCGCCCTGAGCCAAAACACAAACAGATCGTTCAGCAAGTGTTTTGGCTGTCAGCTCGGTCAGCTGTCGATTGACCAGAAAGACAGTGAAAAAATTGCAATCGGAACTTAAGAGATCCATAAGAATGTGCATTCTGTGGTTTCGGCTGTTTTTCTGAGTGATTTGTGGTTGCAAAGTGGGTTGGTTTGCGGGTGCATGTCTTGAAGACACAAAAAGAGGACAAGAAATCAACTCCAAAAGGTAGGGAAGCCGAAGTGACCTCCACAGTGCGAGAAAGATCGCACGCGAACAATGCAAGAGTGTTTTGTCTTGAATGCCAGCCAAAGACAAGTTTAGCAAAGCCAAGAACACGCGTATCGACGGCGTTCTTTTTGTTTTCTTGAGTGTTGATGCAAACAGTATCAAATAGGAAAAATCTTGTTTGTCTGTAAGTTGATTTCAATTGTTATTAAGCTCAAATGGGTTCCAAAATCAGCTTAATTCTGGGCACCGAAAACGGGCCCTAGATTTTGGATTTCCTGTGTGAACATACAAGACCACCCAGGTTTTGGAGCCTCAAATTGGAACCCAAGTTTAGAAGCCATTTTTGGGCCCAGTTGCGGCGTTTTGTTCACACACGGGAAGCCAGATCTGGCTTTCACAGCTTCTTGTTGCGAGTAAAACAAATAAGCCTCTTAGTCGGAAGTCTTGTGTCAGTCTTTCCCAAAAATTAGAACAGCAGGCGGCAAGGCGGCAAAGTGTAAACTTGTTTGGCGCCGGAACTTCAATTTTGCTGCCCCTCATCTTGGGTTTCAGATTCTCCAGGTTTTGGTGCAAGGCCTAAAGGCAGAAGAGGAGAAAAGAAGGGTGCAGAGTCAACATTGGTGGAAACTGCAGCTTGGAAAAGTTCAATGCTTTAAAACAAGTGTTTTTAAAAGCCTCTGACAGTGCCGGTTGGACAGAAATCAACTGCAGGACGAGACGAGTTCAACCGTGGTGTTGATTCGTTAAGGTTGCGCGCGACGCCCAAGCCAAACCACTTGAAAAATTGCAAAGTGTATTACCAGAATGTGAATAAGTGCGAGCGAAGCGAGCGAAACACCGGAGTAAATTCAACAATTTAACTGATCAAGTGTTGATTTTGAGGGTCAAATTTCAGTGTGCCTTGAATTTCTGTTTGGCCATTTTAGCATATCAAAGACTAGAGAACGCAATCGAAGCTTTATCAAAAAAGTCAAATGGAATGGAAATCGAGGCTGGACGACTCTCAAGTTGTTCTGGCCATGAATGAGAAGAGGGGTTAGTGTGATTGTTTTTTTATGTTAGCAAGAACTGCAAAAACATTGGTTTTTCTTTTTTGATCTTTGGAGAAGAAAACACTGGAAAGAAGCCAGAGTCATGAAACTTAGAGACAACTTTCTTCAGACTTGGCAGCAGATTCATGCATTTTTTTTCAGTTCAAATTGCCTTTGCCCTGAACAGATTTTTTCTCTTGCTTTTTGCTCAATGTTTTCTTTGATCTTTCGGTTGATTTGCAAGCTTCAGAAAGAGAGAGTTTTGAGAAACCGTAAGCCAAAACACAAACAGATCGTTGCAAGTGTTTTGGCTGTCAGCTCGGTCAGCTGTCGATTGACCAGAAAGACAGTGAAAAAATTGCAATCGGAACTTAAGAGATCCATAAGAATGTGCATTCTGTGGTTTCGGCTGTTTTTCTGAGTGATTTGTGGTTGCAAAGTGGGTTGGTTTGCGGGTGCATGTCTTGAGGACACAAAAAGAGAACAAGAAATCAACTCCAAAAGGTAGGGAAGCCGAAGTGACCTCCACAGTGCGAGAAAGATCGCACGCGAACAATGCAAGAGTGTTTTGTCTTGAATGCCAGCCAAAGACAAGTTTAGCAAAGCCAAGAACACGCGTATCAACGGCGTTTTTTGTTTTCTTAAGTGTTGATGCAAACAGTATCAAATAGGAAAAATCTTGTTTGTCTGTAAGTTGATTTCAATTGTTATTGAGCTCAAATGGGTTCCAAAAGCAGCTTAATTCTGGGCACCGAAAACGGGCCCTAGATTTTGGATTTCCTGTGTGAACATACAAGGCCACCCAGGTTGGAGCCTCAAATTGGAACCCAAGTTTAGAAGCCATTTTTGGGCCCAGTTGCGGCGTTTTGTTCACACACGGGAAGCTAGATCTGGCTTTCACAGCTCCTCGTTGCGAGTAAAACAAATAAGCCTCTTAGTCGGAAGTCTTGTGTCAGTCTTTCCCGAAAATTAGAACAGCAGGCGGCAAGGCGGCAAAGTGTGAACTTGTTTGGCGCCGGAACTCGAGGTCACTGGAGCTTCCCGACCTTTTCAATCAATTCTGCTGCCCCTCATCTTGGGTTTCAGATTCTCCAGGTTTTGGTGCAAGGCCTGAAGGCAGAAGAGGAGAAAAGAAGGGTGCAGAGTCAACATTGGTGGAAACTGCAGCTTGGAAAAGTTCAATGCTTTGAAACAAGTGTTTTTAAAAGCCTCTGACAGTGCCGGTTGACAGAAATCAACTGCAGGACGAGACGAGTTCAACCGTGGTGTTGATTCGGTTGCGCGCAACGCCCAAGCCAAACCACTTGAAAATTACAAAGTGTATTACCAGAATGTGAATAAGTGCGAGCGAAACACCAGAGTAAATTCAACAATTTAACTGATCAAGTGTTGATTTTGAGGGTTTTTTTTTCAACATTTTCGGAGACTTCAGAAATTTGAAAATTCGTTAAATAATGCTGAATCCAGGGAAGAATTGCAACACGCAAGCAAAAACGAAAGACAAAGAATTGAGGGCGCCCGCCTGAAAGAATGCAGAATTTCTTCGGCTCAATCTTCTGTCAAATTTCAGTGTGCCTTGAATTTCTGTTTGGCCATTTTGGCATATCAAAGACAAGAGAACGCAATCGAAGCTTTATCAAAAAAGTCGAATGGAATGGAAATCGAGGCTGGGCGACTCTCAAGTCGTTCTGGCCATGAATGAGAAGAGGGGTCAGTGTGATTGTTTTTTTCAATGTTAGCAAGAACTGCAAAAACATTGGTTTTTCTTTTTGAACTTTGGAGAAGAAAACACTGGAAAGAAGCCAGAGTCATGAAACTTAGAGACAACTTTCTTCAGACTCAGCAGCAGATTTATGCATTTTTTTCAGTTCAAATTGCCTTTGCCCGTCTGAACAGATTTTTTCTCTTGCTTTTTGCTCAATGTTTTCTTTGATCTTTCGGTTGAGTTGCAAGCTTCAGAAAGAGAGAGTTTCGAGAAACCGGTCTGAGCCAAAACACAAACAGATCGTTCAGCAAGTGTTTTGGCTGTCAGCTCGGTCAGCTGTCGATTGACCAGAAAGACAGTGAACAAATTGCAATCGGAACTTAAGAGATCCATAAGAATGTGCATTCTGTGGTTTCGGCTGCTTTTCTGAGTGATTTGTGGTTGCAAAGTGGGTTGGTTTGCGGGTGCATGTCTTGAGGACACAAAAAGAGGACAAGAAATCAACTCTAAAAGGTAGGGAAGCCGAAGTGACCTCCACAGTAAGGAAGGCGTACCCTACGATGGAGCCCATGAGAGAAACACTTTTTTCAAAGCGGGCGCCCCTTTACTATCAGTAGCACAGTAGGCATCTTGTGGGTCTTGCAAAACTACATGCAAGTGAAAAAGCACAGAGCGCATGTTGCAGAAGTGCATTGACCTGCTTACAATATGGACATATAAATGTAGATTTCTAGATATATAGATATATAGATTTATAGATATATAGATATATATACATATAAATATATAGATATATAGATATATAGATATATAGATATATAGATATATAGATATAGAGATATATAGATATATAGATATATAGATATATAGATATATAAATATATAGATATATAGATATATAGATATATAGATATATAGATATATAGATATATAGATATATAGATATATAGATATATAGATAATATATAGATATAGATAGATATATATAGATATATAGATATATAGATATATAGATATATAGCTAGGTATATAATATATAGATATAAAGATATTGTGAATGTATAGATATCTAGATATATAGATATCTAGATATATAGATATCTCTACATATCTCTAGATATCTCTAGATATCTCTAGATATCTCTAGATATCTCCAGATATCTCCAGATATCTCTAGGCGTCTCTAGATATCTCTAGATATCCCTAGATATCCCTAGATATCTCTAGATATCTCTAGATATCTCTAGATATCTCTAGATATCTCTAGATATCTCTAGATATCTCTAGATATCTCTAGATATCTCTAGATATCTCTAGATATCTCTAGGTATATCTAGATATATCTAGATATATCTAGATATATCTAGATATATCTAGATATATCTAGATATATCTAGATATGTCTAGATATATCTAGATATATCTAGATATATCAATATGTCTAGATATATCTAGATATATCTAGATAGATATATACTTTTTCATATCTGTGTATATTTCAACTTAAACCTTGAGGGTTGAGGGTTGAGGGTTGATTCATAGTTTAGGGTTTAGGATTTGTGGTTATATACACATATAGAAATCTATATTTATAGCAAACTCTAGCTGAACAGTGTCAGGGCATTCACATGTGGTCATTGAGGTGGGCTTGCCAAAAAATGTCTGAATTGTTTGATCCAGCTTGCTGCTGCAACGTTTCAAATCCTCTTTGCTGGCTGATGGCCACACACCAAGGCCAAAGCATCTCGAAGCAACCCAGCATTCGGACGACAGGTCACTCCTAAGATGTTTTTCATCAACTCACCATGGTGCCTGGACATTTCTTCCAGAGAGTAAGTGGGCATCTTCTGGTCGAGCTCATGCAGGTTGGCTCTGACGGTTTTGGCAAGATCCTTTGGATCAGCCACACTTGCTCGCTTCACACCCCCATCGCGGCAAGCTATGCTGCTCATGCCGCACTATAGCTTGCGAGCCTCTATACACGCAATGAACACCATGCAAGCGAACGGTCATCCTGCAAAATGGTTTAACACCAAAATAAAGTCTGCAATGCAAGCATGGAGATCAAAAATAAAATCAAATCTTATATATATGTGTATAGATCTCCATGAAAATTAGGAAAAGCCTTTGTGCATCGGTGTGTCTCCTGACATGAGTTTAAATGGCAGGAGACACACATATATATGATCGAGTGTTCTAGCAGATCTGCACTGTTGCCGTCCGAGTGTGTTTGCCCGACACAGTTGTTGCACGTTCGGAGTGGTACAACATCTTTGTTGGCATGTGCTCGGGCACGCAAGAGTGCCATGGGTAGCACCTGTGAGTGTTGTAGGCCTTCATACTTTCCGTACATTTTGTGCCACCATCCAGCCCTTGGATTTGGGGGGAATATTTCTGTCGGGAACGTGACTATAATCAAAACGTGCGGTTGCCAAGCTCAAACAATGATGTGGGCCTTCCACCACCCAACGTTTCGTTGCAGTGACCCTATTCCCTCACACATGTTAGTTTCGGATCAGCATGTGCTGCTGCACCACATTTGAATGTAAGTTCGCGCCGCACAGGGAGTTGCGATTCGAAAGAAACTTACAAATTCATCTATGTACAGCTATCGATGTTTTTCATGCCCGGTTTTTCCAGCGTGATAGAAATTAAATAAGAATACTAGGTTTTTTTCTCGATGTTCTGCCATTGTTTGAGTTGGATGTCCGTCTGCCATGGTGCGTGTTTTCGTTGCTGAAGTTGTTTGCGGTTGCTTTCAACCTCGAACCAACATCAAGAGGATGTGGGCCCACGTTCGTTCGCTTCCTCTTGATGACAATGTCTGGGCCAAGGATCGGTCGGCCAACCACACATAGTTTTACCTTATCACGCAATTGATCATGCAGGACAACAGCGCTGGCGGCAACTTGGTTGCAGCAATAGGAGAAGGGTGTCGGTGCTGCGGAGCCGTCTGAGGCAACATGTGGGCGATCTAAAAGACATTTCCGTCGGCATGGTGGTCGGTTTTCTTTCATCGCCATGCGCCGAGCAAGGGCACGATAGGCTTGCTGTGGAAACGTTTAGCAATGCGCTGCTTCAGGCCACGGCGGTCATCGTGGTATTGGCCGCCCGCCGTGGAGGCATGGCATTCCCGTGAAGACCTCAGTCCTAGCTCCTAGTTTCATGGTGTGTCGCGTACTGCTCACATGGTCATGTCGTTGCATTGACAAGGTCCATCAGCAGACCAGAAACAAGCTTGATTACATCAACCCCGACGGATTTCTCAAGAAGCAAAACTTCCGGGCAGGCTTGGGCCATCACCTTTCAAGATAGCTGCCAATCTGCCGTCAAATTCTTCTGTAGCCAATTTGAGTTTTTGGGGCGGCATCTGTCCACTTCAGCTGAAAGCTTCAATGATTGTCAATGTCGTTTGTCGATCATGACGAACGTGAAACAAGGTGAGCAGTTTGATGTTACGGTTCCCAAGCATCCGGGACCCCTCGTAAACCCTACATTGTTTAATGCCATGTGATTACAGTGCAGCCGTAGCTTGTGTTTCACAGTGCAGACAAGCCATGGCATTTTGTGTCGTCCACACCTCAAAGGCTTTCACAAATCTTATTGGAGCTAGATTCACGAATTCTTGTTTGCCATTGTTTGGGCGCTAAGGGGGCGTCATCGGCGTCGGGGCTCGCCGGGCTAGCACGGCCAGCACAGGCAACAACAGCCTCCGTCAAGGAGGCTGTTGTTGGCCTTGTTGCATACATGAAGGCAAGGCACACAAAGGGTGTCAGTTTCGAAGGTTGCAACGCCAGCAGATGGTCACGAAAGTCGTGGCCAGGTGGGAACTATTCATTGAGTGTTTTGGTCGTTTTTCTGCGCTCGTCATGCCGAGATTCGTTCAGCGCTTCCAGCCGTTTTGTGCGGATCCGTTGCCCTGTCCTCAACGTGTGTGCTTCGGTGCCTCTCTCGAGTAATAAGTGTGGTGTGGGTGGAGCTCCTCCTTACAACGGAGGCTGGGCTGTCTGCTGGGCTATCCCGCAAGCGTGACAGAAGATGTCGTGCTGTCCGCTTGGATCTGAGATCTCGGATGTCACGCAAGATTGCAGGTGCCGAAGGCGGCAGTTCCATGCTGTTCTGGAAATGTCAGGTCATATGCCGATCTTGTCGATGCAGGTTCTACGGTGCTGACTGTTTGCGCTCAGCGGGGTCGTTGTGACACATGGCAGTTTCCTTCGCTTCAGGCGTCCACACCGGAAGCCGCCCTAGACAAGCTGATTCCCCAACTTGCGTTTGTGGCTTTGCATGCTTTTGTGTTGCGGGATGTTGTAGGCATCTTTCCATTTCATGGTGGCATAGGACAACTTTGGGAGCAGCGCCATCTTTGGTGTTGCGCTTGTGGGAGGAGGTGCCTGTGCGGACGATGCCATCTATGCTAGGATTGTGAAAGCTTGGGGCTTAGGGCTTGCGAGCGCCTGTCAGGTTGGTCCCCCACAGGGTGCCAGTCTTGGCATATGTTTTCATCTGATTGGGGTTATGCTTGCTGTGTGTTCTCTTTCCCGAGGCAACGCGGAGAAGGAACGTACGTGGATGGAATCCTTTGATCCAAGCGCGGTTGTTGAGGCCGTCTCATGCCGGTGAGTCGAGTTGACTCTTCGGGTTTTCCGGGCAGTGCGACATTCTTGGCAAGTTGGATTTCGGAAGGAACGGTTGTCTTTCTGCAGTTGGGAGTAAAGTGCATGATGCAGACCATGCTTCGGCTGTTCACATTCAGTCCGCTCTAATGCTCCCAGGACAAGGAGGCTAGCTTGCATGCAGCATGAAGTGTTTGCCGAATGTGTTCTGGGATTGATCTTGGTCCATGGATGGCATGACTTCGGCTGCATCTGTCGCAAGACTGGAGCTGTTGGAATCCTTTACTTTTCCTGGGACAGCGACTGAACCACGAGAACAACTACCGCGTCATGGATGCCCGCGAGTCAGACGACCACAGGTCCTTGACACGGTTCCGAAGCATAAGACTGAAGCTGAGCTGCAGGAGCCTGCGTACCAAAGTTTTGGTCTTGCATACGCCGGCGTAGGCAGAAATTCGGCAGGCAAATGCAAGCTAGCTTCAAAATCAAACTTAACGGTTCAAGATTTGGAACTTTAGGCTGTGGCATTTAGGGAAGACCTTACAGTGGTCATCACACTGTCGGGAAGCCGTTGAATCATCCAGAGATCCTGCTCCCGATGAACTCTCTAGCGATGCTGCTTCTTGATTGTGTGGTTGTGTTCTAGATGTTGAGTCCTTTTGCACCATGTGGCCCCTCGCGCTGTCTTCCCTCGATTTGCGGAAGGACTTCCTTGACAACGGGCCTGCCGGGATCATCGCTGGGAGCCGTGCATGTCAGGGCAACAGCCCTCCCCGATGGCGGCATCAATTGAGTGGGCTTCTTTCCGCTGATGCCCATGGCACAGTTCAGGAGTTTCATGATTTCTTGTGTTCCTTGGCAGGCAGGCAGTCTCGAGATTGTGAGTTTACTAGTCTTTGTGCTGCAATCTTGAGTGCGCAGACACATGATCGCAGTGCCATCGATGCAACGAAGCACTTGGCCGCATGCTTTGGCTTTTCGGGCAATTTGGGCCTCAACCCGGCCGCATTGGCTTTTGCCCCGTTGGAGACGATCTCGAGGTGCCTGAAAAGCGTCAATTTTTACAGAAGCAAAGCAAAGAGACTACGGGAGACTGCAGCAGCTCTTCTGAGCCAGCATTCTGGAAGAGTTCCAGTAAATTTTGAAGCTCTGGTCGCTCTCCCTGGCGTCGGCCCGAAGATTGCAAATTTGGTGTTGTCTGTGACTTTTCAGCAAGCCGAGTGCGGGATGGTTGTGGATACTCACGTGCACCGCGTTTCTGGGCGGCTTGGATGGTCGACGTTTGCCGAACCTGAGCAGACACGACTCTGCCTGGAGGGGTTCATTCCTGCAGAGATGCGAGAGATTGTGGCTCGCCGAATGATCGGCTTCGGCCAGGAGATCTGCAAGCCGCGTAATCCTGCTTGCAGGGTGTGCCCGTTGGCCAAAGAGCTGTGCCCATCAGTGTCCGGTGAGCGTCAACGTGTGCACGCCGTTCGCGCAGCAGGGCCGAGGCCCTGGAAGCTGAGGCCCAGCGGTCCCAAGCGCACGATAATCGAAATAAGCGTGGAGAGCTAAACTGCCACACTTGTAGCAAGCGGGCTCTTGACATGGCTCTGCTTCTCCCCATCATGCGCAGGAGCTTCTTAAAATATCTTGTGGTGCCAGCAAATCGCCGTCACGCTCCTCCTTCCGACCTGCTGGATGGAAACATCGGGAATACTGGTGGCGAGCTCTAACTCACGCGCCCTTCCTTCTCGCCGACCGCCGCGCCAACAACGCCGACCTGTGCAGCAACCAAGACTGACAAAACGACTGATGAAGCCCCTGCTGTGCAACCCCATCCTCACGGATGCAAACATGCTTCAGGTTTGAAGCGAACAGCATCTAGCAGCTAACACGTGAAAGCCATTAGTGAGCAAATGGCGGCAGCAATCAAGACTGCCTGATAACTGATAGTTGCTTTGAGAAGAAGGTGCCCAGACCAAGCAAAAGAAGACCGAGATAGGGGCTACATTGAGCCAGAGATAGGCTTCTGTTGTCCTCTGCAAGATGAAAGGATCTCTATCTCCCGGAAGTCACCGCATCACATTCCAGTGGTGCCGGTGACCTACATGGATTCTTCACATCTCACTTGGCATGCCTGCGCCACTGTGTGAGGTTCGTGCGTACATCGAGAACAAGGCTTCGTGCGGGAGGAGCTGATATCAGCACGGGCACTGCGTACATTTGTCAAGTCTGAGTCTGTGAGGATAGTCATTGACCGCTTAAGTGATGGCAGCAGGCAGGGTCGCAACAATCCTGTTGGTCTTCCACACTCCGCCAGTTTCAATGAAGCAAAGGTCTTGTGGGTTCACCTGGCATCTGGAAGATGATGGCGCCGCCGCCGTCTCAGAGAAGTGATGCTTGCCAAGCACAGCGAGGTAGTGACATGCATCGCTGCTACTTGAAACTTTTCGGGCTCCGACTGCAGGGGCTGATATGATTGAAAAGGCTGAAGCGGTCGAAGCAGCCGAAAGGGCTGGAGAAATTGAGAAGCTTGAGCGAGGGTAAAAGGCTGAACTAAATCAAACGCTGAACGGGTTGAAATGTCAAGAGCAAAGTAGAGCCGGAAACGATATAACAGAGCTGGTTCAGCTCGAACAAAGGCAACAATGGCTGAAAGGGGGACACAGGGCTATATTTGCAAGGGTTCGGCTGTAGACTCTTTGGACCCCACAGTAGATGATGCACGGTTGTGGGGGGAAGCTATCCTCCGTTTGACATTTGCTTGTTTTGTCCGCATCAGCAAAACCGATTCTGGTAACGAGGTCTTGGTAGGCAGTCAATGGAGGCGTGAACGAGGCTTTCGAGAAGGATCTGGGAGACCTTCAGGTAAAACTGAGCTGAGCACAAACGAACACATTTTGCAGCGATTTTGGCGAGCCTTTGCTACTAAGCTGGTTTTCTTTGTGCATTTAGTGTTGCTGTGCGTTCTCGTAGACATAGTCATCCAGTGCCATGTTTGCCATGTTGTGCACCAATCTAAAATGTGAACGCTGCTCTGCCCAGTGAGGTGGGAATCCGTGGGACCACCTACGTGGAGCTGAATGAACAAGGGCTCTCGGCTTAGATCCTTGCCAGGCTCAGTGACTCAGTGACCAGACATGCACCGGATGTGCTGATGGCCCTCGCCCCTCCCCCTTGTATGCTCTCTGAACCCTAACGCCCAGCGCGAGGTAAAATCCTCCCTACATCCCACGATTCGTAGGTGTAGAAAGTACAGCAAAGACACGCAGGGCATCTTCGAATGCTGCGAATCAAAGTCAAAAAGTCTACACTGCACTTCAACATACTGCAACCCTTCAACCCGAACCTAAGCCCTAAACTCCACACCCTCTAATCCTTTTAATCCTCAAGGCCCGCAGACACGAAGGGGCTCTGGACTTCACAGCAACACCGGATAGGATGGGGTGGGACCACGCGGGGGAAGCGGCTTGGGGACGGGCACCCTGATCTTTCCTCCCGATTGTTCATCAGCCGCATCATTTTTTCCCAAAAACATCTCGGATGTTTGGTTCTTGTTTAGGCACTAGGCCGGGTTTGCGTGAGCTCGGGGCCGTGATGAGTGCATGATGAGGGGTTCACGCCCAAGCTTTCGCAATGTATTCGGTTGTTTTTGCGTTCATGGCTTGACCTTGTGTGTTATGCGCGTGTGTATTTGTGGAGCAGATGTGGCCGTAGCCGCATACAACATTACAGCAGGAAACATCACTCAAACGGTTTGGCACGAGAGCTAAGCCATCAACACAACTCGACATTTTGATTTGGCATATACTCCGGTGTATTGGGCGCCGTGGTCTTGAAGTGTTGCCTGAGGCTGGTGAGCTACGTGCGGGAGATCTGTGAGCCCCTGTTTAAGCCCGGTGATGCAACAGTAGAACTCCTGAAGGCAGAGATGGATTGCTGCGTGACATCTTTGTCGATCAATGCGGTAAAATTGGTGAGGCAATTGGCGGTGAGAACGTGGCTTCGTTTGACAGGGTGCCCTGTCTGATCTTGAAGATGTTGTCGCTGAGATGGAGTGATGCTTGCGAGGTCGAGCCCCGCACCCCATCGGGAGCTAGCACGGCCCTCAGGTGCCAGATATCGACGCTGTGCGCAGCTCCCAGTATCTCCCAGTGCGGGTGCCATGATGAGGCGACATTTGCCGCTATCTTTGGAGCGAACTGCAGGACACAGAGATTGATCCATCTTTGTGGCGCATGATGCGCATGTTTGTCCCGGAGGGCAATGCTGCACCTTCCGAGTCACTGGGCTTCTTCGCAGACGAGGCGCAGCACTAAGCGGAGCTTGCCCCCAAGAGATCTCCGAAAGAGGCTTTTGGCGTGGCCGTGTTGGCGAAAGAGCCGAAGCGTAAGTCGAAGGTATTGTACGAGGACTTCAACTACGAGCTGCCGCTGCGATAGACGCTCAGAGTATGGGTGGCACGCTCTTTGCAACAAAGCACTTTGTGACTGTTTTTTGTCCTTTTGTCAGGTGGCAAAGCTGAAGTGGGCCGTAGCCTCATCTCGCAATGGGCTGCAGGAAAGTGTCAGGCAAAAGAGTCTCAGGGGGTGATGACGGATATTGGGGTTTAGCAGAAGGTGCCTTCTTGGAGAAGTTTGTCAGTGACCCAGTCGTTGAGATGCCACGGTCGGACTGATTGCGTGTTAGGACCTCCGTGCCAGGCTGAGATCAAGGCACTCAAGTTTGTAGCCGAGCGATTTTCGGATGGATCCAAATCATGCTGAGCCTGCCTGAGCTGCTCTTCGCTTGAGGTGGCATTCTGGGCATAACCCAGGTTCCCTAAAATCAGTATCACTTCCGAGGCTTCACCTGGAACGTTGAGATTTCTGGCGCTTCCTCCGATGCCCCAAGGCCTCATAAGAGTTGAGTTGGGGCAAATGACGCCCAGGTCTTTCAAAGCATGTTGCAAGGCAGTTGCACTGGCAATTGAGCCGCGCAAGTCCGCTTCAGTCTGGGCGATGTGTGCTTCCGCTCGTCTATGTCAAGTAAAGATTGCGTTGCAGGACCCGCGGCATATCATTCTACGAGCTGAACAGTCAAGGCAAAGAAAGCTTTGTGCTTCCACGGACCTGCGTCGCTGCTGGGCTCTCACCTGCTCGCAGGTGAAATTTCATACGTTCGGGACATCCCCGAGAGCTTGTTAAAGCCGCCCCCGCTGCAGGCAAGCTGCTGCAAGTCTTTGCGACATAGCCGCTGATTCTGCACACATTCCTTCATCTTTCATCAGCTGCCAGGCCATCGCGTCAGCTATCCGACCGAAATTGCGGGTGTTTCAGCCAAGAAGCACTGTCGTTTCTGGTGCCTGGAGCCTCAGCTGGGGACACAGGCTCGGCTTGATGGCTTCAGCTCTTTGGTGATCCAGGAAACTGAGTCTCGCTGCAACTGTGCTGATGCGGGTGGCGTGGCCGGGGGCTCTAGTTGCGAGAAAAAGTATTGACGGGTGCTCTGACAAGTGCAAGTAGTATCCAGCGGTGAAGCCTTGCTGCCCCATTTCTTGGCTGCAAGTTGTAGGAAAAAGGCAGCCGCAAATGAAGAGAAAGCTAGTCTTCAGTGACATCGATGGAACCTTGGTTCACATCGCAGATGATGCTCTTGAGCGCTGGGGAGAGTTGTCCGAGAGTGGCTCCTCTTTCAGCACCAGGGAGGGCCAGGTGATTGCGCTCCGTGCGCTCCCAGCATCCTCGACGGGCACGCAAGCATTTATCAGCGAGCGGACTTTGCAACTTGTGTCCGAGATACGGCAAGCTGGTAATTTGTTCGTGCTGATCAGCGGCGCCCGAAGCAGCACAGTCATGGAACGTCTACCGTTCCTTCCTGCAGCTGATGCCTATGTGATGGAGAACGGAGGCCGCATCTTCGTTCCCGCACCGGCGAACTCCGCCCCTACGGCAGCACCTATAGTCGAAGACTTCGAGTGGCGCAAGGTTCATGCCGCAGCGCCCATCATTCTTGACTCTGTCCCGCCTTCGGAGCGCCCTGGCATCTTGTGGGACCTCTTCCGCAAGTTGGAGCGACAAGGCTGGGCATGTGATGCCAACAAATATTCGACAGACTTCCGAGTGAAGCTAAGCAAATCAGCTGGCAAAACTCAAGCTGAGCTACAACATGTCATTGAGACCCTGCCACCAGAGTTGGCATGTTCCTTCAATTTGGGCAGTGCTGACTTCTACCCAGCCACGAGCGGGAAAGACAAAGCTGCCGAGTACCTCATGAAGGCATGGGGTTTTGACAAGGACTCGGCAGTCAGCATGGGCGATGACGACAATGATTTGGCTTTGGCAAAGGTTGTGGGCCACACCTACATACCTGGTTTCACTGCAGAATCTGTTAGAAGTGCAGTTCAGGAGGACCCACAGGCTTTTACTGTGGCGAGAAACGGAGCTTTTCTTGGCACGCACGAGGTTCTGGAGCTCATAGGAGCCTTCAGCAACTTCGGTGCAGCCGCGAGGTCGTGGCGACCTCTGTGCGGCTGTTTGTTGGCAGCATCGCTTGCTGTACTGCTCGTCACCCATCGAAGGCACCGAAGGTTGATCTGAAGATTTTCAAGTTTTTCGCCGCAACACGATGGAAAAGGGCTTGCATGACCCGCCTGCAAAGCTGGTACTGGGTCACACGCTGTGCTGAACATTTTTTTGATGGCCTCTTCAGCTTTCAGGTGTGGCCGACTGGTGAATGTGTTGATGGGACAACGGTCCTGGTCTTGCTCTCAGATGCTGGCCGAACCATCATCCCCATGCCATGGCAAACACTGTGACGACCTGTTCAGGAGCAGCTCGTCACTGGGTCGGATGCCAGAAGGCGATCCATCTCCGAGGAGGTTGGAACGGCCTGGAGCCTGGAGACGCCGGAGACCGTACGAGAGTCGCAGATCGAAGATTGCTCCGTCTGCCAGGCAAGCGGTGCCGTAGTAGTCTTCCTCCGACACCTGGCCTGCCCCTTGCCCAAGGTGATTAGGGGAAGGTACGTAGGGCAAACTTGTGCTGGAGCACGCTCAGGACCTTACTGTTGGTCGCACGTGCGCTCGTGGTGCCAAGCCTTGGAAATCTGCAACCTAGTATCATACAAATATCATACAAGTTTGCACCCCTCTCTCCGGAGAGGTGTCGACCTGACGTGCTGAAGCGTGTGGAGGAGTCACGAGTCAGTTTTGGGGGCTTTGGTTCATGAATTGTTCTTGGCCCAAATGAAAGCCACAGGATGAAGGGCTGGCTGGTCCACTGATGATTGCTCCTGGAACTGCCTCCGCCCTGGAAGGAACTGATTGGGAGTTCAGGTCCTGCTTTGCTTTTCGACCCGCATGGCGCATTCTCAGCAGGTGCCATGGGAAGTCAAGGATTTAACAAGTAGGAATGCGTGTCTCGCAATTCGAAGAGGCGTACGTACGAAGCTGGCATAGCTCGTAGACAGTTATTTGCCACAGCGATCTTAGTCACTTTTGGCAGCTTAGATCATCCTAGTATATCCTAGTGAAAATCTGGCTTTCGGTCGTCTTTGAGCTATTGGCAACTCTGCGCTCTGCACTATGGCGCGCTCAGGCCGCCCAACTCAACGACTTCCTTGACCAGATCCCTGAGGTTCCTCGGACGAAGGCGCAGACATTCTTCACCTCTGCGATCACCTGGTGGCTTCCTGGGACTGGTGTGCAGGTCTTCGTTGATGACTCAACAGGGTACCAGGTTGCCAACGGCATGCTTCAACATGATTCGCCCGTTAGTTCTTTGAACATGTCCCAAGCAACATTGGGCACTGCGCTACAGCACGCTTTGCCTGGATGCAGGCTTACTCTGCGATGAACTTTGGTCGTTTGGGAAGCAAGCCTGTGGAAGGTGTCTCATTGGAGGCGCACGGAGTGGCCGATTTGTGTGCTCTGTCGGCGCTGACCTTGCTACTTGTCTGATATTGTAGGCACCTGATTTGGGTGGTCTGGAAGGTTTGCCGCGGGCTGAGACTTTGCTGAAGTGTTTTCTCATCTGGGCGAAACCGAACAGCTTAATCATGTCTAATTATGTATAGTTATGTATAATTATGCGTAATTATGTACAATGGTGTATAATTATGTAATGCGGTTGCTTCGACTAAGGTTCCGCTACATCAGCAAAGTCACTTCTTTGGCCCCACAGCAAGAAGACTCTAGCGGGGTGCCAGAGGTGCCAACTCCCAGAGCGCCTGCTTCAGTGAAAATTCAGTGCAACTTCAGCGCAATGCGGTTCTGCCGGGAGGGTGTCCTCTTGCTCGGTGGCACCTTCGTTGTGAGGGGCGAAGAGGCACCTTGCAATGCAGACAAGCTGTTTGGCTGGTGCGAAGCCGTTGCCCGAAATGCAGGACGTGTGCCATGTGTTTGGCCTTTGTAGGTGGAAGTGAGTCAAACCCCTTTCTCGGCAGAGCAAGCACTTTGCATCTTAAAGAGGAAGCTGTCTGAAACATGTAGATGTGCAGTGCTTCAGCTTTTCCCAGCATTCAAGGTGCGCGCGGGTGTGGTTAAATCGCATAGCTTGTCCATACCCTGGGTCTTCTTGCTGTGGCGACCCCTCTCCTGCGACATCCTGCGACACTCTCGATGCCGTGTTCTGCGTTCATCTTGACGTACGAGCAATGACCCCTCGATTAAAAAGGAATGGCGAAGGCTGAAAAGCTTCAGTGCATTCCCTCAGCGAAGCATATTCTAGGATTTATAGGGTGCCCACGCTTCCGAACCTTCCTGGTGGTCATTATTTGGGCAACAGATCGCAGCAATTGCTTTCGACTTTCTCCGGTGCATATGCTCCGTCTCCGAGTTCACAGGCAAACCGCCCCTACAACTCATCCCGATTTGTGAGCAGAAGACACAAGAGTTTTTTGCAGCACTGCACAGGATTTGCATTTACGAACGCTACCTGCCGCTACCTGTGACTGCGCATGTTTCATGCGGGCCATGCCCTGAAGTCTCTTCTCGGTTACGTATTGTAAATCGAAGCGGCAGGTGGTTTACGCCTGGGCAGACAGTGACTCCGACACGCTTGTTGTCCGAACGCGCTTAGGAAGGCCACATTATGGCTGTTCACCTGCCAGGACTGCCCGGTGATTATCCTCGGCAGGATCCACAGCTTCTCGTGGCACAGGTTGCCATGCCCAAAGCTTGTCGCTTGTGTTTCCTGAAATTTCAATCCAGCAAGTTCCACATGAGCTTGCGACTTCTCAACGGAACTCTGCCCATAGCAGGGTCAAAGTGTAGGGCATTGGCACTAAGATGGTCTGCTGTTCTTCCCAGCCGGCCCTGAGGTGTTCCACTTTCCATGAAGTGCAAAAGCGTAGCGTGGCGAACCATGCACTCATGCGTGTCGCCTCCTTGCCGCCTTCCGCAGATGGATTTCCAGTGTCCTGGGGGGTGTCCCTGGAAAGGTCTCGAGATCCCTATAGACGGTTCCGGTTTCCCCTGCCCCAAAAGTGCCACTTGGGGGCGGGTCGTCAAAGGTTCCGAAGAGGCCCAACGAGGGAAGCTAGCACGGCCTATTGAAGAAAGCCTATGACATCCCACTTCTACAAGCAATGCCGCATCAACGCATTGTGAGTAGCACGCAGCAGCGCGGGCCCACGAATTCCGCCTGCATCCGCCTACCTTCGCCTGCACATTGACAAGTCTCCAACGGCTAGTTTTGCCAACGCCCCAGGCCAGCAGAAGTTTTCGCGGGCTTGGCTCGCCCGCAGTAGTGGCAACGATCCACGTGGTTCGTGACAGGCGCCAGCTTGATCTTTTTGCAGCGCTTGGCAGCGGCAGTAGGGATGGTTGTCAGATGTCGCTTCGCATTAAATAATTTTAGAAGTGCCAGGTATGCTGGGTTCAAGTGCAGCCAACGCGCATGCTCCAACCTTGAACAGTTTCTGGAGTTGCGTGAACCGCCGTGCGACTACTTCGGCATGCTATTGCTGAGACATGGCACAATCTCAGGTGATGAGCTGCAAGGTGGCTTTGCGTAGTCCACGACCTACACAACATGCGTGTTTGCGCCCATGTTCCAGGGCTTGCGGCGGCCTTGCCACGTCCTTGCAGATCTGAGAGCGCGTCGGCGCACTGCAAACCCAGCGCTGCATGAACAGTTCTCGAGCACATCTACACTCCAAAGCTGCGAGCCGTGGCCGAAGTTAAAAAGTGCTGCAGCTGTTCTTAGCATTGCTCAAGCCCTCTATGTGTTGGGCGTATGTCTGTCATGGTGTATCCCTTTGGCACATGCATATCTCCCAAGAACGGGGGCACCCCTCATATGCCGTCAAATGTCAGAGTCCTTATCGTAAAACCTTCGGTAGACACCGGCAGGCACTGCTGACCTCAACTCCGGAGAGGCATCTGGAAGTGTTGCCTCTTTTGCTTCTTACCTATTGCATTAGACTCTGTTGGCATGTGGCCATGCAAGGCCCTCTAATTCCAAGTGGCTGAGCGTGACCAGCTTGGCATCGTGTCGCCGACCCGTGTTAGAGCATCTTGTGGGATTTTGTGGGCAACTCCTGTGTCGCCAATCAGAGGCTCCCATGCCATGCAAGCTGAACCTACAGTAGCCTTTACAGAGGAACTAATGCGGAGCACCAACAATCTGGCATTCTGGAGATCCGGGTGGGCCTGCCGAACCGGTAGGTAAATCTAGCAATATCAGGCAATATCTGATGGAATTCCGCTGGTCCTTGATCGTATCTCTTATGCAGAGAGCTACTGTACATTGTACATGACATCACTGTAGATTCAGCACCAGCACCGTTCAGCACCATGCCTTGCGGCTGGCCGGGGCCTGAGGGGGTTAAGGCTGCGTCTTGGCCCTCAGCTCCTCTAAACCTCCCAGACTTGCTCTCATTCCTACTATTGTTTTATATATTATCCAGATTGCTAATCCTGAGGTGCCTTTGGCTTCCGTGCCATGCCTCAAGCTGCGATTGGACCTGGAGGCTGGGGATTTTTTCGTGTTTCTCGTGGCAGCAGGGTTTGTCAAATCTCCCTCGGCCGAACGGTTTAGGGTTCGGACCGCTTAAGCGGGCTTGTCCGTTTGGTTGCCTGACGTTGGCCTGCGGAGGCGTCGTCTTCTGGGCACAGACCCTAGTCGCAATGCAGGAATACGAGGTTGATATTGTCATCTGCCCAGGTCATGTGCCTGGTGGTGGGCGGCGCCAACCCACACCAGGCCAAACAAAACCCTACTGGCACGATCTGACACTTTGAAAACTGTGGGACTCGCTATCATGTGCCTGGCACGGATGTGTACAGGCACCTAGCTTGGATGCAAACTCACTGCCCCTCGGATGAATCCAGTAGGCCGGTCGTTTCCGAAGTCACGCAGCTCAATTAGCCAAGGGCTCGTTTGGCCAAGGCTCGTTCCGGCAAAGGAGCTTCCGCTGCGTACGAAAGGCAGACTCGTGTGGGGGAACACTGGGGACTTGGGCCAGGCTGAGTCAAATTGCACAGGTCGCTTTGTCGTGGGGCAGTCGGGCAGGCGAGTGCTGTCCCCAGTGACGCAGCTGCCATGTGGCATCCTCTTGTTGTAACTGAGATGAGGTGATGCTTGCCTGTGTCAACTGGTACGGTGCATCGCAGAGGCAGTGGTAGAATGCCCAATGAGAGCACGCTTGTTCGGCTTGTGTTTTTATGCCTTTTGAGAGATTTTTTTTTCTCTTTCTCTCTCTCTCTCTCTCCCTTTCTCTCTCTCTCTCTCTTTTGTGTGTTTCTTCTATGTCGCTGCTGCCTTGTGAGACAGATGGTGAACAATGGCTTGGACGACCTCAAGGCCTCCTCCCTGGCCTTGAGGACACGTGCCGGCCCAGTTCTCTCTCTCCATCTCTTCTCCCCGTTCTCGAATGGTTCCCTCTCCTTCACTTCCGGCACATAGAAGTAGCCAAACGAGTGAAAGGGAGAGAGACGGAGGGAACCAGAGAATCTCCTTTTTCTTGAGCACTTGTCAACATAGTCAATCAGAGTGGCGCGCGCGCGAAGGATCGCGGCCCTGGGTTTCAACTGCGTCCGGCTTCCCTTCAGCTTGGTTGCGAGCTTGGTTGCCCTATAAGACCCCCAAGAAGCACGCAAGTGGAGAGATGGTGCGTGAAACGACGGGGGATGCAAGGAGATGGTCTTGAAGAACGTGACTGTCCCAAGCCTCAAGGCGCGAAGGACATCTGTCGATCTATCACTGGCTGCCATCGCCGCCATCGCCGCCATCTTGTAGGCGCTTGCTGGCAATCCTGACTTGGCGGGCCTTTCACCAATGCAGGCCCTCTCTACACAGTCTGCATCTGCATCTGAGCTCATCAATATCATCACAATTCATCTGATATCACACGGTGCATCTTCCTGATCTAACGAATCAGCATCGGACTTAAGCTCTTCATAAAGCAGTTGCTCATGCACGTGAATCGAACACGAGCAGGTGTTTGATGCAACGGTGTCCGTGCCACATCTGCAAGCAGCGGTTTCATGTGCGTTTTTTCAATTGAGAGAACCAGGTGGGCATTGTTTTCAGGCACTGACAGACGTTGGCCTGCTCGTGGTCTTGAACAACCATGTCTCATCAGCGGGGTGGTGCTCCTCTCAGTGTCAGCTCCGTGGCATTCAGCACGCCAGCTGCTGAGCTTCCCGACAGTTGCCCAGAGGTTCCAAAAAAGGCAGGAGCCCTAAACCCTCAGCTCTCAAACCCCCAAAGGGCCCCTGAAAATGAAGCAAAGATGGAAAGAGCCCTGCTCTGAGGGGCAAAGCTTTTGCGGCAAGATTGCCATCCTACACCTCAGAGAATGGCTGGTGTTCCCCATGCCCCAAAAAGAAAGCCTGGCTGCGCTCAACCCCACGGCGAGACCCAGAAACCCTCGAAACGAGTCATCTTGAGTCCTTACCGGACTGAACTCTGAAGGCAGTCCTTGCTGGCTGAAAAATGAAATGGAACCGATGTCAGCGGCATCTCAAGGAGGTACGTGCCGAGGGTCTGCAAGAGCACACGTCATCACGCAGCCAACCTTGCATCAGGAACCGGAAATCGGAAGGCAAAGCAACGATGCAAGAGACCAGTCATACATTGAAATGACAACGTTTTTGACGTTTTATGCCCGCTGCAGTGGCCGAAGGTTCGCAAACCCTAGACCCTAAACCATGAGCCCTTTTACCCTCTGCAAGCACTCCAGCGAGAATGCTGCATGCGCCATGATGCGACCGTACCGCAGGTGCTGCAGCGGATTCGATGGAGAAGGTCTTTGGTATACAGCGAGGCATGGCCGGACCTATATATGCCATGGGATCTGAAGTGTATGTTCAAGGTTTTGTGAGGGTACCGGGTGTCCTCGTGGGGATGCTAGCAAGAAAAGCCATACTTCATGATACTTCATGTGTTGCACTTGGCTCTTGCTGTGGCATAGGATTTTCTCAGCTCATTCAATGCAAGCGCTCACCATGGCTAACATGTTGCTTGCAATGGAGGACGCTTGGCTTGATAGGGTTTATAGGGTTTGCGATTAAAAAGCTGGCTGAATTTACCTTTGCAGGTACTCTGAGAGGGAGTGGCTTCGCGGCATCGGTCTAGTTGCGCGAAGGCGCCGGGATACCAGTGCCGACATGCTAAATTTGGAAGATCGACAGCCTTGCGCACGAGCGCCCGCGAAGCTTTTCGTGAGTTTTTCAGCAGCGCAGCCAGGTACCGTGACAATCCTCGAGTTGCTGGATTTGACTTGAGGACCCGAACGACTGAAAAAGGAGCAGCCTGACTGCATGACACTGCATGTGACTGGGGCTCTCATGGAGGAACGAGGTCCGGGCCAATGGGCGCCGAGCTTAGCTTGCTAAACGGAGATCCCGAACGAATGCTGTGAGCAGTCAATGTGCATTTCAGGATGACACTTCCTACGTGGGGTTCGGGTGACCGCCTGACGGATTGGTCCATTGCTGCGATCAAGGGTGCCAAGCAGGTGCACTGAAGTGAATCACTTCTGCTAGAAAGGCTTCCCCGGCCTGACATGCCTGACATGCCTTTCCTGACTTCCAGAAGACATGGATGAATTCCTCAACCATAATTCTCAAGGACTCGGTCAGTCTATTCGGACTGATTGAGTCCATTTTTACCCGGGCATACGCGGTCACATCCGGTCATACCCGGTCATGCCTGGTCATACTCGGTCATACCCGGGCATACCCGGGCATAGCCGGTCATACCCGGTCAGACCTGCGCGTACCCGGTCATACCCGGTCATACTCGGTCATACCCGGTCATACCGGTCATACCCGGGCATACCCGGTCATACCCGGGCATACCCGGGCCTACCCGGTCATACCCGGTCATACTCGGTCATATCGTCCCATGTTTTTTCGCAGTCGCTGTTTCCCGTCACAGTGCATTTTTGAAAGTTGCGTCCTGTTGCATCTCTGCTGAGAAAGACATTCTCGTTTTGCATCATTCTTCCCCACGTGTGGCGCTCTCCGTCTGCTGCCGACACTGTCTGCCGTGCATGGGTTGGGGAGGGCAAGGCATTTTCCTGGGCAAAGCTGGGGGTGCGTGAAGTAAGATCGGGAGTGTGGCGTTGCCTTGTGGGCAGGGGGGGGGGGTGGAGGGTTGCACAGGCAGCAGGCATGAGTGATGGAGGCAAAGAAGAAAACGTAAGGGCTCAGCGGCGCAACACATGTCAGAACATGGTATCATGTTTCTGCATTCTCTGCCTGGAGATGCAAGCATCGGAGACAGAAGAGGGGGGCGGGGGGAAGGTTCAAGAACCAACAAAGAATTCTCTACGGTTTGGGGGAGGGAGGGGGCTGCAAGTGAGTTTGGCCTTTCTTGGGCTGTGTGAACACTCCTGTGTGTGTGTGTGTGTGCGAATCACCTGCTGCTCTCTTGTTTTTGTATCTTGCGCTTCTTCACTGGCCGCCGCAAGTACTTGACGAGTTAATGTGCAGACATGGTGCACAGGTGCTTAGCTACAGCCCAGACTTGCTGATCGTCATCTCAGGCAGGTTCAGAAGTAGCATAAGTAGCCATAAGTAGCATCACCGTCTCGATGCTATATCATCGGGCTTCAGCTGCGGCTGACAGTGACAGCCTGATGTCTGACACCAGACTTTGCCAGGCATCCACTTCGGCATGCGCCTGTCGGAGGTCCCGAATCGACCCATCCATGACGAGGACCTCCGCTCAGCATTCCAGTCGAACCGGGAGTGTTTTGAGGGATGTGCCGTTCTGAAGGAGGGACTCGGGTCCCACTTGTTGGCGGTCTTTCTTCTGGGGCTACTGACTGGCTAACGGTTATTGCTGGTGTGGTATTGTGTGGCATTGTTCCGCTCTCGCAACACCTGGGCCCGGCACAAAAGCCGCATCAGCGGTTCGGCAGCAGCTCTGCGTCTGGGAAGCACACCGGACCTTTTGCCAACAAAGTCGGGTTCTCCAAGAAGCGAGTATTTCCATTTAGCATAAGTTCAACAGGACCTGGGCTTAAGGCTCTGAGGCTCCCAAGCCCCAAGAACATGGGGAGCCTCATGGGATTCCTAGGCTCCGCCAGGGCCTGAGGCTCCTAAAGCTGCCAAAATGGGACAGGGTGCAAGGCCCACTCAAGAGCTGCGACTTACTGGTGCGCCTTGGTGTGTCTCCATGGACTGTCAAAATTCAGACGCCGGAGGCCTGAAACCTCGGAGGATTTGGGACAGCCAACCCCATGCACACACATCATGGTTGATTCATGTTGACTCTGAACTGCAGGTCCCTGCTTTGTGGAATCGCACGGTGCCCCATAAAGTCCATTGTGCAGTGCAGGGCAAGATGCATCATTGTAAAAGTCCTGAGAAAGGTGTACACAACGCACTTCTATTATGGCTGGTCCTTCGACTTGATGGCCTACGATCCTGGCCTAGCATTTGATTTTTGGCTTGTGTGCGACCCCCACAGCTCATGGATGTACTTGTTTTCAAGTAAGGACATGCTGGGGAGGAACATCCCTACCCTGTACTGGGCCCGGCAGTTCATGTCTCCTTGTCCCAAGTGTTGTTTGCATCTGCCCTCAGGATGCTCTTTGCTTGCTGGCTTTGGTTCTTGCTGTTGGCAGACTCCCAGACAGCCAAGAGACGTGCCAAGGCACGTGCCTCATTGTGCAAAGCTTGTTCATGAAGCTGCACATTCCGAACAAGTTGGTGCTTTGGGGTTCAGGTGGCACCACAAGAGCATCCTCAGGCACAAACAGCGGCAGTCAAACCACAATGCGCATGTTGTGCGAACCCCCGCCTGACAGGTCACAACGCGCTGCCAACAGTGGGAGCTGTCCGCTGCGGCTGTGGTCGTGTGCTTGCAGGCATGTGCATGTGCGAGGGGCTTCTGCGTGCATCTCGTCCGCGTCATGTGGATGAGGTGATCCTCTTCTCCATAGGAGAGCACCTGGGTCAGACCTGTGGCCACGTCCACATCGTACCTTGGCCTAACATCCAGTGCTTTACCTCGGAGCTAGGGTTCCCCCGTCCGAGCTTCTCCCGTCCGAGCTGTAAAACCTAGGTTGAGGATAAGCTTTTTGGGAAGGATGTGGTTGTGGTGGGCAATACAAGTGTGAAGTGCCGGAGTGTCTGCCTCGGTCGAGGCGAGGGCTTGGCTCTGATGGTGTGAGTCGACCAGATGTGTTTACCCCCCCCCCCTGGACACCATTGACACACCCTGGTGGGCCAAGGATGTGGTTCTTGTGTGTGTGTGTGTCGAGCAAGGAAGTAGTTTTGTGGTGTGAGGATGTGTGAGGTGATGCGGACGTTATCAACCGCGGCCCCTGCATCCCCTGTCATGTGTGACTCCCACTGTAAACGCCTGCCGATGCTTGGAAGCGGCTGGTAGCATATCAAGGGCAAACGTAGTCATAGAGTCACAAACGACAGGTGTTAAGGAATCATAAATTACAAGAGTTGCATTTTTGGGCGGTAGTGCAAACGTGCTGGCGTTAACCCCTTGCTTGATCGAGCCCAGCCTTTGCCGGCGCCTTGGTGGCGCCGGGGTTTCTGCAGGGTTTCCGTTCGCAGCAACGTTGCCGCGAAGGGGGTTTTGGAGCTTCGTGGCCCCAGAACTCTGCGTAGTCTGGTCCGTTTCGCGGTCTCAGCGATTGGTATGTCCCGAATCCAGCTCCGGATGCCGCTTTGAGTTCGTTCGCGATTGGATAGGTCTCTCATTGTGCTTTTCACGCTTTCCTTCGTGGCTCAGCTTGTAAGCTGGGGAGACAAGGTATCACCAGGCCACACTGCCGCATAGCTATGGGTACTCTACAAAAACGCCATCACCTCCACCCTCAATACTGGCACGCAGTCTTTGTGGAAGCTTTGGCAAGACGTGAGAGGGCTTTGTGTGTTCCAAGTTTAAAGCAGAGGATGTTTTGGCTTCTCATAACTTGTCATGAACGCCTATAAGAACGCTTTCTAGAAAGCTGTTGAGCAAGCCCGCTTCAAAAGATGCATTGTCAAATTTGTTTGATGGACGAGCCTGGTAGTATTGCAGAAGACTTCCCGCTTCTCTATTCTGAAAGAGAAATTCTCAGGTACCTCAGTTCGTTTCCTTTTTCTCATCAAAAGAGAGCGTTTGTTACGCATTTCTTGAAAAATGGCAAAACCGATACTGCTTGCATCTGAACATGTGCCCTGATACTTGGGGTGATTGAGATGCCTAAAATGCACGTTCCGGTAAATCAGTGGCGCTCCAGGTATCTCCACCAGCTTTTGTGGTGGCAACAAGCGTTGGGTTCCACATCAGCTATGTCTTATGGGTGAGGCGTGGATTGCTGCGAGTTGTGGGAAAACCGGAGCTATGGCCGTCTGGTGCAGGATCTTGCTGGCCTACACGCTTGTGCTCTTCACTGGGCTAGGTAATGAGCAGGCGTGGATCCTCTTGCAGATGGCAGCTGTTCCAGCAGAGCACCCCCTTGAGGAGGCGAACCACGGCCGCGAAGCCCGCGATGATGCAGATGCCTCGGATCCTGCTACTTGTGTCAGCACGTCAAGCTTGTTGGCTATCTGGCTTCTTGACGGCTTGGATGCTGTGTCCTAAATTCCAAAGGCTAAACCTAAGCCCTGAACACGCAGGGCCATTGGGTGGTGCTTATGGCCAAAAGTCGCTGAGGGAAGCTTGTTGAGTCGACCGGAGGTGGGGGAGGTCGAGGAGGCCACGGTGTTTCTTCGCGGCGGAGTCGAAGTCTTATCAGTCTCTCATACTCGAGAATTCCTCAGCTTCTCAGCTTCTGTCGGTCGCATGGAAAGTTTTCTGAGGCAAGCACTTCGACGGATCTCCGGATGAGGCGCAATGTCACTACTGCACCCATCTTGATGTCTTCATGTTCTCAGGATGTTCGTTTATACTTGCATGATTCAGCCTCCTCAGTACAGGGCTCGAATGATACGCACACGCGTTCAAAGGTTCAGGAGCTTGACGCTCGCCATTGGCCAGATTTTGGCACCGAGCTGCCTGGTGAAGCCATTACGTGAGAGGCCACCAAAGTTGTGCTTTTTTGCCGTGCCGCTTCCGTCTCAGCGCCTTTGCAGGAAAATCCTGTTTGCTGCGGCCGCCGCCGCTTTTCTTGCGTCTGTCTTTGCCATTGGTTCCAAGTGTGGCTCCTATTCCAACTTCCAAGGCCAGACATGAGAGTGGCATGAGAGCGACGCAATTGCCGCAGAGCCATCGGAAAGTCCCGCAGATCACAGGTGAACTGGATGCCTGCCTCGGCCGGGACACGAGGGTGTTGACTGCATGAACTTGATGAACCTGCGAGAACCTGCGCACAGGTCCCCTACTGAGTGGTGATGGTGTCACCCAAGCACCTGCCGTGACCCCAGAATCATAACTGTTCCTCGAAAGGCTCCGAGGCCCTCTGAGGGTTGAGGCTCTGAGAGTCTCAGGTCTGGCTCAGCGAGTGCGGTTCCCAGATGTTCCCAGCAAGATTTTATCGGTGCTTGGCACGTTCGAGTGCTTGGCACGTTCGACGCTTGAAGACTGCATGTAACGACTTAAATGAGCGGATTGCATCCTCGTCTCTTGTTTGCCAGTACGTGCTTCTAGCGGAAGCCGGGCTTCCCACCGGTTTTCTGCCTCTCACCAGTTACTAACCGCGCTGCTCCACATGTGCCCCCTTCTTCCGGGCACCCTTCTGGCTTCGTCCAGAGCGAGTCAACGGTCGGCCGCCTACGGCCGCCTACGCTCAGCACAGAAACCCGAAAAAGCCCACGGAAAAAGGGCATGACTGCCATCAGAAGATGCCCACGTCGTCGCAAGAGATGGAGTCAGAGTTCTGCAACCCTACAACCCCTTCAATCTCCTTCTCACTTTATGAGGAGGACGGCGGTCGACACCAAAGCTGGCCCTTCGAACGCAAACGCCCCTACTTCTATGTCAGGGCACATGGAACAGCAAGTGTATGGCAATCATGAGAGAATGGGGACCGCACGGGCCCGTGCGGGCACAGAATGGCTTCTGCAAGGAAGCGGGCCCTGAGCCCAAACACCAGGAGTGGACTTTGTGCGCGAGTTTTGTGCGAATGAGCCACAGCACGTTCTGAGATGATACTGCCAGCGAGTCGGCGAAAACCGGTCAATCTTGCTGCGCAATTCCCACAATGAGTCACATAAGGTTTGGTACTGATGTCGGCGACAACTACTGGATCTACATCGTCCGGTACATGAGGGAGCTGCTGCAATAGAGCCACTTAGAGCGCCACGTCCGGTCCGCTTCAATGAATTCAATGCCCTTACTCCTCCCAGGAGCAGCAGCTTGACTTCGCCTATTGGAGCATCAATGGCGACAAGCGAGCCAATGAAAGTGAGACGTATGGGCTGCTTCAGGCGCACTTTTGCCGTCTTTCGGCGGGTAGCCTCTCCTTGCTGAGACATGAGGCTGCGTAAGGGTAACTTGACAGTTTCTGCTGACCAGGATGACAACTCGGAAGTGAGACATCCCTGGAAGCTGCAAGATCTCCGAAGTTTGTTTCTGAGCAGATGAGCGGTGCAAAAGAAAAGTACGATCTCGGCAGAATCGTGCAGTGTTGTCCGTCTGGTCCGTCCCAAAAAAGTTGCATCTCAGAGCAGTAGCGGGCTGTGTCGACTTTCTGCTGAACTCGGTGGCCAGGATTCCATTGATTTCGCTTGCTACTGCGAAAGTACGAGGAGCATTCCGCTAACAACCAAAAGAGCTTTCCCTCAACAACCACCACAACCACCACCAAAAACTCCAAACACCTCAAGAAACCTAACGCACCCCACAAGGCTTCAAAGTGCTCCAAGAGGTGCCAAAAAAGCACCAAACAGCTCTTAAAACACCAGCCCCCAAAAAGAGCTCGAGAAGACCCACAAGGCCAACAGTCCGAAAGGCCACGAATGCACCAAAAAAGTCCAGAAGCAAAACAGGCACCACAGGATCCAAAAGACTCCAAAACCATCCAAGAAACCCCAAATTTTTCGCAAAGCCCCACGCGCGCGCACCCAAAAGCCGCTCCCAACCCCCCTGCAAGCCCCCCCGCCCCCTGCAAGCCCCCCCAAACCCCCCTTTGCCCTGACCCCCCACCCCCACTACTGACCCCCCAAAAGCAAAAGGCCTCCATGAGGCCTCCAAACGGCGCCAAAAAGTCCAAGAAGCTCAAGCAGGCAAAAAGACTTTCCCAAAACAGAACTCCGGACCCAAACCCAGTGCAATTGCTATGAGCCCTCTCATCACGCAGGACTTGGTGGCCGTGCTTACAGGTCCTTGCGCAGAAGTACTGCGACCGAGGTCTGGGCCGCTTGTGAGTACCTTCCAGCATGTTGGGAACAGGTTTTTGTACGCAGAAGACCCTCGTGACTGACGCTGTATGGAAGCTGTCAGAGGACGTGCGTGGTGAGGTTACAACCGTTGTCCTGCGGGGCACCTGGTCAATCAAGCCCAACCTTACTAGTTCTACATAGGGAATCAAGGAATCGGGTACCTTTTACCCCTATACAACTCTTTAAGGGATCATGTTACCTAAATACCTAATTCCCTATTCAGAACTAGTAAGCCACAGCAATGAGCAAATTCCAGAACCCTACCGAGGCCGGTGCTGGCAGGCTTGACGGGCTGGCTGGCCCTGATGTACTCCATCCAGCACTCGATGGTGACGGCTCGCTGCCTCAATCCATGTCTTGATGCATCCTGGAACCCTGTTGCTTCGTTTTCCCTGGGAAGGTGCCCTTCCTAACTGGTATGCAGTATGAGTACTTTCCGATTATTGCTACCTTTGTGGCCCACACCTCAGAAACTCCACAGCAGATGGTTCTCACACACATAGACGTGGGGGCATCTTCAGGCAGGCTACACCGTCATCGTGTTGGAGGCCTGCTCGGTTGGAAGTCCGCTGCACAGCTGCATGGCTCCCACAACCGCTCCAGGAGCAGACTGAGATCAACAAGGCCTGCCTATGCCTTCCTCTCAAATCCGACGGAAACCTCCCTAAACCCTAAACCCAAACCCTGAACCCCGGAACCCTGAACCCTAAACCCTAGAGGGGTGCCTCTCCCACGGCTCAGGGCCCATTTCGACACTTCTTGTGGAACTTAAGAGTGAGTCACCATCAGGGCGGTTGTATAGAAAATCCATTGTCAGGATGAAGCGCAGCATTTTTTGAAGCCATGTCGAGCCCGCGCATTTGCCCTACAAAAGGCCACAGGCAGGTGAAGGCTTCAAAACTCTAAGTTGCGAGCAGAAAGCCTTCTCATCACCCTCCGCAGGCTCAACGCCTTTCAAACCTATGCGCCAACCATTCCTGAGTTCGGGATGAGAGTGCAACGGCAAGGAGGTACTCGGGTCACTGTGCTTCTGAGCTGCTTCGGCGCAAAGCTTTCGTGGCTCGCAGAAGCGGCCGATTAGCCAAGCATTCGTGGGAAGCCCTGCGGCCAAGACACTTCTTCCCGCATCTGTTTTGCGGCGCAGCGTCCCGATAGCTTCAGTGCACTGCTTTGCAGACTTAGGATTTAAGATGCTTTCCAGGATGGTTGTTAGGATAGGACCTGAAGGATGCAGCCGGTGGGCTCAACGCCGCCGCGCCATCTGCGCCATGCCGAGAGGCCTCCTCTCCACCCGGCTGGAACCCGACATTCCAAAGCCTCGCTCTTCGGCTCCTTCGGTTGCTTACCACTGGGGATTAGCCTAACAGGCCTAACGGGCCTGGCGGGCCTAACGCTTGGAACGCATACCAGGCGCGCAATTACGCCGGTGAGGTGCAGGACACGAAAGACAGGAAGACGTTCCAAAGAACAATCCGCGCAGTCCCTGAAGCTGCCGAAGTGTGTGGTTTTTGATCTGGATGGCTGCCTGTGGTACCCGGAAATGTATGAGCTGTCATGGGCAGGCGGCGGTGCTCCTTTCCGCCGCGATGATTCTGGTAAAATTCATGACAAACGCGGCCATGCAGTGCGCTTGCACAGTGGGGTGGATGCCGCGCTAACTGAGCTGGCAACGGATGCAAAGTGGCGTGGGGTGGTTGTTGCTGTGGCATCCTGTTGCGACGTTCCCAAATGGGCATACGAGCTTCTGGGGAAATTTGAGTTTGGGCCAGCTCGGAAGAAGCTTGCAAGCATCATCGAAGTCCGCCAGATTCACAAGGGCTCGAAGCAAAGCCATTTCCGAGAGATTTCTGGAGTTGTTGGTTGCCACTTCGACGAGATGATCTTCTTCGACAATGAGAAGTACAACTGCGATGAAGTGAGTCGACTGGGCTCTGCCCTCGGTTGGTCTCGAGAAGCGATGCGCTCACACGCTTTAGGAAGCGCTTTAAAGTATGCTTCATGACCCTGTTCTTTGACTTTCATGCTGCTGCTGCAGGGGTCACGTGCATCTTCTGCCCTGATGGCGTTACCTCCACAGCTTGGACAGCAGGCCTCAAGGCTGGGCAGAAGCAGTCATTGGGAGAGGGCTTCCAACTGATACCTTCCCATCTCTGAGGTTCTGAGCATGCACGGGCAGGCAGAAGGATAATCATTACTTAGCTTAAACCATTTTCAGCACATCGTTTCTCCCTGCCCTGAATTCCCCATCAACTGCACGTTGATGACAGATCTGTGCCAAGTTACTGTAGGACAGGAAACGCAAACCGTAAACTGGGAGGAAGTACCCGACTGATGTGCTTGGTATGGCATGCCATTATTGGCCGACCTCTGCCATGCAGGCTTTTCCAAGCATTGGCGCAGTCCGTTGCTGCGAATGAGCTGGAGCACGCAGAAGCGGGCAAAGCAGCTGTGCCGTTCCAACCATATAAGCAGATTGCGACACTCTCATAATTTATGTGTTCACTCTGGTTGCTAAGCGCGTGCTTGTCTTGTTCTTAGGGCCATTGGTTCTTCTTGCATACTCACCGGAGATGTCGCATGACGCGCTCAGCAACGCCAGCATAAGAAAGAAGTACGAAGGAGCACATCGGGGGAGCTTTGTAGCAGCAGCTTGCAGCAGCTTGCAGCAGCCTGAAGCGTCGCGTGAAGCTTTCAAAGCATGGTATGGTGCTTTGTGGATTTTCTGTATCTATGGGGACGTCGGAGGCAGCCACCGCCCTCATCTTAGGAGTGCTGGCAGCGCTCCCAGTTGGGGTTTGTTGGGTTTCGCTATTCGTTTTTCGTATTGGTTATTTCTTGTTTACTCTTTCTGATGTATGATGTATGAGTATTGTTCACAATGTACCATTTCTTATTTACTCATCATTATTCTTCTTGATTATTGACCCTTATCATTACTTGGTATTGTTTGTAGCATAAAAAAGAACGAATCCCTACATGTAAGTTCAAACGCGATAGGATGGATTCGGTGCTGCTTCTCTCCAAGGTGTGGGCCTTGGTGGGCACCGGAGTAGACATGACGGCTTCCGCCTTCGACTTGGCAATCAAGCGCCTTTGAGAGCAGTGGGTTGATTTCTGCTTTTCTTCTTTCGGCTTTTTGGCTTAGGGTTTAGGGTTTAGGGTTTAGGGGAGATGTTCTTGATTGCAGGGAGACGTTGGAAGACGTTTCCGAGGCGCCATCGGCACCTTGTTGCTCCTTTGGATCCTAAAGCTGAAGCTCTAAAAGCAACCCTACTGGTGAAGCACTGTGTTGTTGGGGACAGGTTGTCTTTTTTCTTCTGGGCGCCTTGACCATTGTGGAGATCATGGATGCCCACAAAGGCATGGCTCAGCTGAGGATCAGCAGGAGAAGAACAGACGTCGCCCTGACTAGGCTTTGACATCATCACGAAGCTGATCCAAGCAAAGACTCAAAAGGAGCTGCTGGCCGGTGCCTTCTAAAGCATGATATGACGTCACAGCACAATGTTGGTTGCATTCAGGTCATCGTGTCTGTTCTGACCTTTGTGCTTTCTTCCGTGCTGAACAATCTGACAGTGGTCATCGTCATGGTGCGCCGACGCTTGTTCTTCCTCTTGAGGTAGCATGTGAAACCTCCCCCCCAACTTCCCCCCCCCCCCCCAAGACCCCCCAGAACTTGACTTGCCAGGTGTCTCTGCTCCAAAAGCTCGTGAAGGCCGCGAGAGCTGCCATATGCTACAAAAACGGATATCAGATTTACATGCGAGTGCAATATGTGAGTGCAATGTGAGCGCAATGACAGGATGAAGACTTTCGGATGAGGCTTGGTGGAATCGTTGTGGTGGCATCCAATGCCGGCGGAGCCTGGACAGCTTCTCCAGTAGTGTTTGGGGATGTTCGGGTTTCGAGCTCCTTGGGCAACAGGCACTCCAGCAGAATTGCAGCATGCGTGATGCCGTGCACAGTTGCGCACCTGTTTTGGCGCATGGCCAAGTTGTAACTGAGCCAAGAAGGACGCCCATTGGTGACATCACAACTACAATGCTGTACATTGGCGGCCAGGCCTGTTTCACGCCTGTTGCTCTACTCAACTCTGGGTTGCATGACTGATCAGATGCCCCAGGGCCGGTCGTTCGCTCTTGTCCTTCTCCTTGAAAGCACCCAGCACTTCCACTTAAGAAGAGGATGACCACAGCCGGATGGTTCCATGACTGGTCGGACTTTGGGGGGCAAACGCCGTCTGCACACCGGTGATAGCGCATGTGAAGGTGACTACCGTGCCGTTGCTTGCGAACCTGTTCATTCCGAGCGTTCTTTGTTTGATTGGCACAGTGGGTGCGCCGGCCAAGATCCGCTCCACCATATTCATGTTGCCATGGTGCAATGGTTGCAATGCGAACATCAGCTCTGAGGTTATGAGCTGGTCCAGATGGACGACAAGCCCTTTGAGCGATCTCCATCTCGTCCGGAGGTGGAAGGGTGCTTGAGTCATGTTGAGTCGTGATGAGTCCGACATGAACCTGTGGCGTCAGGATGCAGAGGTGCCCAATGGCCAGGCATGTAGCGAACACAGCAGTTGGTGGCCATGCGGTGATCTTTTTGGAGCCGCAAGGCCGTGGTGTTCTGGGGGGGCCTGATCGGCATGATCACAGTCCCGGCATTCACTGTCGAGGGCCTAGCGTGAAGCAGGACTTCAGAGAAGACCCGAAGCAAAGACCAGAATAGCATGTTGCCCAGGCGGGGCGTTGAAAATATGGGTTTCTAAGCTTGAGGCCGCGACCCAATGCCCGGCTTGGAGCGGGCTGCGCTCACAGCTTGTGCAGCTTTTCCGTTTCCCACCAGAAAACAGGGTCTCTCGGTAGGCTCTGATAGACCTTCTGTTTCAAGACTCGTCTCAGGATGATGCTTGTCTTGGGCCTCCTGGGTCTCATCACATCGCTGTGTCGAGCTGAGAAAGCGGTGTCTCGTTGTCTTGCTAGGTGGTGCCCGCCTCAAGACCGTCTTGATATCGGACATGTGGGGCTCAGAGCGGCTACGCAACACTTCCGGCATAGACATCTGCGAGTTGACGCAAATTTCTAAAGGATCTCAAGGTTCCCAAGCAGTGCTTCATTGATCTCGTGGCTTTCTTCGTGGTGCTCGTTAGGAGCATACGCCTTTGCAGTCACAGAGAGCAATCCTGAAGCTACGAGCCATGGGAACTGGCTCCAGCAGTGAGGACGGAAGGCCTGGAAACCTGGTTCTTCGCTTGGGCTCTTCGATCCCAGAAGCGCTGAGGCCGTCGAAGGCGCAGATGGTCCAGGCCTGGGAAGCCGAGGATCCGGAGCACAGCGGCTTGTCCCGGCAGCGCGTCTTGCGAGTCATCAATCGACTCCTGGAAGAGCAGCTGGAAGCCGCCAGCGCAGCCGCCTCGCATGCGAAGCTCCAAGTGGCCAAGGAGCAGGCCAGGATGGAGAAGGTGGGCCGGCGGGAAAGAGCAGACTTGAGATCCATGTCGGCGGAAGCGGCGCAGGAAAGTTTAGACCGACTGGACCGATGCACCGCCGTGATGTTGGGCTGCGCCGCGGGTCCCGTGATGGCTGGCATGATGGCAGGGTACGTTGACATTCCTGTGACCTGTTTGACCGCGATGCTTCAGGACAAGGAGTTGCTGCAGCTCCGAGTGGATGCCCTCTTCAAGCTGCATGGTGAAGGTGCCGGGGCCGAAGCAAAGTTGCGACTGGAGGACTTCCAGCGTGGGTATCTTGGATGTTTCGACAGGGCCTCCACGCTGCTCAGTGAGGCGTGCGCCCCTCCGACTGAAGAGCAGCCTTCCCCATCTGCATCGACTTGCTGCCTGAGCTAGCCACAGCTCTTGAGATATTTGGGGGCTGAGCACCAAGTTCGATTGCAGGGGATCACCATAAGGGCCAAAAGAGCTCCTATCTGTTCCCCTCACAACGCAAGGCTAAGCGACAAAGCTCATTGATTTCTTCGCAGACTCCCATGCCTCATGGCATGGGAGCGTCCAAGCAACGAACCCAAAAGAACTTCCCATCCAAAGGGTTGCACAGGCAACATAAGATGGGGTGGAAGCAGCTTCGAAAGGAGCAGGACCATTGGACTTCGCAGGCTCTGAAGAAAAGCCGAAGCAGTTCGAAGAGAGAGTGTTTTGTGTGCCTGTCTGTCACCTGCCCACTAGCCTCTTCACTCTGATCCCCTCTTCACGCGGGAAACTGCAGAGGCTGCACGGCCCGGAGGACAATCGCTACTCGCTGAAGGGGGCGCTCACGCGAGTTGAGGCGCCAATTTCAGTTTCATTTGCTGCCGAGCTCTTTATACTCGTAGGGGTTTCTAGAGGTTCTCTGAAATGGGTATGTATCGGGCGGATGCAAGGTACCTGACTTCCTAATTCCCTATCACTTTAGGAAGTGGGAAGATGCGGATTTCGCATCGTTTGGGGTCGTAGGATGCCAAGGATCTTCGAACATTCAGAGTGCACCTTTCCAGTCGCTGTCATATTCATTGTGCACCGTGTTGTACCTGTGAGATCGTTGTAGCAGTGTCGTCTTGCCCTTGACAGAGCACTCAGCACTGCAGATGCTTGTGAGCAAGGTGCCGGATGCGTTGTTCTTTCTGGGTGTCCTCTTCGCCGTTGGTGGCCTTGAACGAGTAGGTCTGCTCAAGGAGCTCGAAATTCTTACATCCTGTTACATCCTCTTATTACATCTTCTTCTACTCATGTCTTCTTCTTATATCGTTCTAGCTAGCTAATAATTTAATAGTTCGTTGAGAAGAGGAGTTTGCCATCCAGCTGAGCAATCTCGTGCCCTCTGATGCCTTGGCCAAGACCTGAGATTCCACGCTGAGATCTCCCTGATGCAGGGAGCATGGATGAGAACAGGGCATGAGCGTGCCGTTTGGGCATCCAGGTTGCGATCTTCCTGGGTTTTGCTTCTGCAGTGGTGGACAACGTTCCGCTGGTTGCAGCTGCACAGGCATCCTGCTCTTTCGTTTGCCTGACCTTTCGGAGCTCGTGCCCTCCTGTCCGCGGAATGCCAGGGCATGTACGACATAGGAGTGCATCCTGCAAACGACGGCTTGTGGAACCTGATCACGTGACCCGGAAGAGACGGACAGACACTGGCAGAGAGGACCTGTGACAGCATCGGAGAATTGGTGCCCTGTGTTTCTAGATTCTGCAACTGATTGCAGGTACTGTGCTGCCACAGGCGGTTCGCTTCTAGTCATCGGCTCTGCAGCAGGTGGGGGCTGTCCACTTTGTCCACTTCTGCTCAAGCCCATTTTGCAAACCTCTGCAGTACTCGGCCTCTGCGCTGCAGGTGTTGCCTTCATGGGCATGGAGAGGAATGTTTCCTTTGGATGGTGCGAAGCACAGTTCGGTGCTTGCAAAAACTCCTAACGTTTCTTTGCTCACCGCCAGGTACTTCAAGAGTGTGGCCCCAGCAGCACTGGTGGGTTATTTCCTGGGCGTCGCTGGAATTTTGGGCCAGCAGGTGCAGCGATGCGCAATGTCATCTGATGTCGCCGTGGTGTTAGCTTCCTCTTGGATGTTTATGCCTGCGCTCCGCCTTTGGCGTAGGCGCTCGGACTGAGCGTGGCATAGCTCAGACGTGCGGGTGTGTAGGTCTCGACATTGACTGGCAAGCAGCTGATGCAATTTAGGCATCAAAGGGCACTGGGACCTCAGTAACTTTGTCAAAGGTGTATCGACAACTCTGCGTCCATTCGTTAATGCTTGCATCTAATTCAAGTGCAGGCTTTTGCCTGCCAGTTTCTGGTGTCTTGCAACACATCACGAGTTTCAGCTTGTCGAGGACCCTCCGATGCAAAGCAGATGGTTGCAAGTCTCAAGCGGCACCTACGTTACATTGCTTTTATAAAAAGACTGACGCGGTCCAGCACGTGAGCATGACATGGAGAACACATCCTGTGAGTCTCTGAGAGTGCGGGCTTCTGCGTGGCCTGGGGGGCTCATTTGGGTTCTCAGAGGGACACGTCAAGGCCCCCGGTAGCTCGGATGATATGCGCTAGATCACGGCAGTATGTGGCGCACATGTGCGAGACACAACCCAGGCTTCTGAGCACCCTGCTATCCACTAGCAAAGCCTCTGCATTCCGTTGTGAGGCTTGTGTTGTTGTATGGGCCGCGCGTTTGGAGCCCCACCCGTCTCGTGCCGGCAAGTGCAGAACGCCATGGCAGAGGTGGACAGCTTCGGAGGCAGGAGGATGTACTCGTACTGCAAAAGGTATTGGAAGAGCTGTTAAAGGTGCAGTTGACCATTGTGTGGAGCTGAAGTTGAACTTTTGTGATGCACAGGTGGTGCGTTTCGTGAAGTTGGAAAGCCTCAGGCCGAGTGTCCAAAGACAGCTGTGAAGCCATCGCGTGGCGGCGTGCAACGGTTGCACAGCTCTGCATTCAACCCTCTGCACATTCAGTGCTCTTTTTTCTTTCTCCAGGCATTCCGCCTCCAGGTTTACTGGATGCTCACAGGGGAGCTTGTATGCGAGGCGCCATACCTGAGCCTTTGCAGCTCAGTCGCCTGTCGAGCACTTTCCTTGTTGCTCCGCCACATCGATTGCCATTCAGGTGGACACTACGCCCGGCACGAGCTTGGCCGACGTCCACGCGCAGGTGACATCACGTGCCGTGTGCAGATTCATTCTTGATGCTTGCGACGTCTGGACATTGGCAGGTCTGCGAGACAGTGGGAGTACCAGTTAAGCAGCAAAGACTCTTCTGCCACGAAGGCTCTTTGGGGTCTCTAGACTGAAACGTAGTTATCAAGGGTCACGATTCTCTCCTGAGTGGGTCAGGGAAGTTTTTTTTCATGGAGGACAGGGGATGAATTGCTATCATTCGTATCATGAGCATTCGGGGCATCGTGAGCATCATGATTATCCTTGCCATTATTCTTCTCAGTGTTGTCATTGTTGCGATTGTGATCACGGTCATCATCTATGAGCTATTCATCATGATTGTCCTTCATTCATAGCATGCAACCTCGTTGTTGTCCTGAATATAACGGGTATCATTGTTTCTGTTATTGCTGCTACTACTGCTACTACTGCTATTGGTGCATATTGCTAACGGTCGTTACTGTTCTGGCTAGTCTTGCTGTTCCTGCGGTGAAAGCTTTATTCACTCACTCACACACACACACACTCACTCACTCACTCACTCATTCAGCGCTAAATCCGAAGATAGTGAGCGGGGCACGGGTGAAGCTAACTCGAACATAGAAATCTACCGGGGGTTGTATCCGTACGAGGGGCATGAAATCAGAGACCCGTGGCAAACCAGTGAACTACTTTTATTGACTTTGTAAGCCCGTAGGCTGATTTGGACGTCTTGTCCAATCCTGTGTGCGGCGATTGCTTCATAGCGTTTGTTTTGGCGAGTGTGGCTGCTTTGTTTTTTTTTTTCACGTCTTTTAGAATAGGGCTCAACGGTTCTTGGCAGTTTGTAGTCAGGTTAAGTCAAGATTTGATGGTCTGTCTGCTGTTGACATAGTGTTGTCAGTTTCTTCTTGCTGTTCTCAATTCTCAGGTTTATTGTTACTTCCCACCCCCCCCACGCCCCCACCCGCCCACCCCCCCCCCCCCCCCCCCCCCCCAACCCGCCACCCCCCCTCTTTGGGGGTGCAAGGAGGGAAATGTCTCACTTCCCAAACTCATCCAACCGTTGGCGGATGCGTGCCTGCGAAACCTTGTGCAAGTCTTGAACCCTAAACCCAAAACCCTAAAACATCGGTGTACAGGCAAAGAGCTGTCGCAGCAGATGGATGTGTCTGAAAAGGGCCAGGAGCTTGGAGCCATGTGGACAGCAGCACATCGTCGGGTATGTCTTTAGGGGATTGGGGTTAAGGATGGGGTCTTAGGGTAGGGCTTTAGGTGGTCTGCGACGTGCGTTTGCTCCTGATTCTACCTTCAGAGGTGTTTTCCCGGCTGCTATCCAGCTTGGGTCTTGGCTTCGTGTTGCAGACTCCACGGCGCATGATGTCGTCTTGGCTTGTGAATCCAGGTTGGTGCGCTGCCTGAGCGACCCTCGAAATACCAACCGGGCACATTTCAGGGAAAATCTCAAGCTGGAGGAAGGTCTCGCCTGGGACTCTGGCTTCTCGAAGGTCTCTCTGGTTGTCGATTGCTTTATTGCTTTCTTCTCTGAGGTCGGAAACTTCTGTTGGGTGAAAAAGATTGGAGATGCGATATATGGTGAGGTTCGCAACTCATGGATTTGCTGTTGCCCGTTTTTAACTGAATACTGCTCTGCATGCAGGTGGGGCAGTACAAGTGGAAGAACGGCAGCAACGTTCAGGATGTGGCCGTCAAGTGCCGGAGCATTGAAAAGGCCGGAGACGCGAAGTTGCACGAAACGATTATCTGCACAACGCAGCACAACATTGCTCAGGCACGGCAAACATTTAGCAAGGACGGATGGGTCCTTGCATCTGCGCAAATCCTGTCGATGTTGTATTCCCAGCTGAGCGCCATCAGCAGGACACCAATGAGTACACGGCGCATTTTTCGGGCCGAAACATACCCGATCCGGAGGTCGGGTACCAGGGTGCAAGGCGGCGACGATGATTTCAATGATGTACATGTGCCATCGAGGACGCATATGCGGAGATTGGGGTCCTCCAGTACTTGTGCGGTCCCAAGTCATTGCTGTTGTGTACGACAATGACATGGCAAAACATCACGGAAAATGTGCAAGAAGGTTGCGTGCGCCTGAGCCTGATTAGTAAGAATGGCGCTCAGCAATAGAAGGATCGTGGCTCTAGGAGAGGCTGGCATTCGCGCGGTGGTCACATATGCATTTTGACTCTCCAGATCCTCACTTGTTGATACTTGTTGCAGGTTCTCTGAACCCTACACCCCGACCCAAACCCTAAACCCGAAAAGCTAGAAATCCAAGAGGCCGCTAATTGCCACTGAAAGGTGCCTCAAAACGGGACGTACTACGGCGGGCTGGCTTTAAACAAAAATAACGTGAGAGGCGGAAGCCACGGGAGACTTTTTGGGCTCTTTTTGGGCCCTTGGTGTGCGGCTGTTTGAGGGTACGTTTGGGTCCCCGGTGAAGGTGCTCCAAGGGTCCCAGAAGGTTCCTGCATCTTGAAAGGCCGAATGGCTCCCCACGGAGTTCCTAGTGTCTCCATGCTAGCAGCCTCAAAAAAAGATGAAGGAGAGGAGGAGGGGCGAAACAGGGCGGTTCGTACGGAGGACGTTGATGGCAGCGGGACCGCGCGCCGCGTCGTGAATTGCGAGACCCGGTGCCACATGAAGTCTCAGGTCTAGGCAGCCTGACCTCCCGGCTTTTCTGCCCGGACCTCTGGGGGGAAAGAATCAGGACAGAGCAGAGTGCGGCTCGACCAAGCCCAGGCTGAAAACAGTGGCAGCATTTACACACGACTCCAAAATGCGCCGAGCTCGGGGGCCTTGAAGTTTCCTTTGCAGCATCATGTCTGATCGGCTGCTGCTCGTCTTTGCGTGCAGATGGCTCGTGACTGAACTGGCAGAGGGTGGCGAGATTCTCGTCCGAAGCACAGAGGGAGGGGGGGGTGGGGGCAATTCGGGGGGGGTCCCATTGAGCGAAGCGAACTCCCCCCTTCAGTGAATCACAGTGTATCACAGTGTATCACAGTGTATCACAGTGTATCACAGTGTATCTCGTGGATGCTCCGCGTTCAATTGTGTTCTCTCTCCCAGGATGCGGTGCTCAATGGCCGTGTTGACGAACGACAAACCAGGTGCGGAGCAGCAGAGCATTGAGCAGAGCCACAGCATGGATGGTCACCAGCGAGTGGAGACGGGGTTCTTGTCATTCTTAGGCATGCTATTCGCAACCTAGTGGGCATAAGCAAAGCACAGGCAGAGCATGAGCATGAGCCACAGGCAGTACACGTGGCAGATTCTGCAAGCCGTCGAGCTCCTAGACGGAGCAGCTATGGATGCCAGCGTATGCTGCAGACTTGACATGATCGATGCCTTTCGCAAGGTCAGGTATCTGCATTCCCACCACATAGGCCCGGCTTTCCGTAGCGGCCACCCTCGCGGGCATTCGCTACCCTCAACTGCCCGTCAGGACACCGCGACATCTCTTTGGTGTTCGACCCAGAAGAAGCTCATGTTTGACAGTCCTGTGTGTGTTCTGTGGGCTGAGGAAAACATCTTGCTGAAAGGCGACAGCATCAGGCCTTGGCTAACCTGCATCGAGCAGTGTGTAACCAATATCCAAACGAGAGAGGATTTTGGGAGAAGGGGTGCCGGCATGCGATGGGGGTACCACATGGCTGACTCTCCCCCTCCTCCCCCTCCCCCCCCCTTCCAAAAAAAGAGAGGAAGTTCACGCGGGACCGCAGTGAGTACTCGCTGGATGCAGCATCGATGGGAAGCTCAGCTGGCGAACGGGATGCATCCGAAGTCATCAAACAGGCAGAACCAATGACGGGGATCAGGTAACGGTAGGATGCACGATGACTGGGGACACCAGCCACCAGCATACGCCAGCATTGCAGCCTCTGATGGGTTGTGCATGGGGGCGGGGGGGGGGGGGGGGGGTCGAAAGCGCGAAGCTAAAATGCAAAAATGGCTTTTGCTCTTGGCCCGTGCAGAAGATCCTGTCTCGTGCTTTGGTATTGGGGTGGTTTCTACCGTGACTAGCAAGCATCTCGCGTGACGTCTCGGCTCTCAAAGTCTCTGCCAGGCTCATGGATTTTGGGGCTGCAGTTCAAAGTGGCTCAGCTCATTTGGGCAACGCGAGTCGCGTGAAGCCGCAAGCTGCTCTGTTAGCATGATTCCTTAAGGTCATTCTGCTAATGGACAAGAGCTTCGCTACTTCCTTCCTGCAAATGGCCCAGCAGCTGACGTAGATGACATAGATCGTGTTCAGGCTCCCGGACTGCAAGATGTCCAGGTTGGCAAAGACACCTACCGAGCTCCGGAGTGCTTCGTACCACGTCAGCCAGATGCCAGGGCCGGGTTGCCCAGATTTGTGAGGTGCCATTTCGCCTGAGAACATCTCCACACACTTGAGGTCGCAGTACCAGCAGGTGGTAGACCTGGAGACATCATCATGCACAAAGGATCTGCAGGACTTTGGCAGGCGAGTATTGTGGTTGAAGCAGTGGTCCGAAGTCCCATGAAGATCTTGAAAACAGAAGCAGCGGACGTGTGAAGTCGCGGCAGCTGCGGTGAAGGTCCGTCTGCCATCCAATGCGATACCTGGAGTGGGCCTCATACGTGTGCTTTCGGTATGCCTTTGAATGCCTGTATCAGCTCCCGAAAAGCCCAGAAGATCAGGACAGTTCTGCCAGGCAGACACATGGGGTCGGAAGCTCGAGCTGACATGCTGCTGTGGACATCTAGGCTTCTAATGAGGTCACACTTGCTCCACGGAATGCCTCGTAAAAAGACCCCCAAGGGGCTCAGAGCAAGTCGCTGCGTTAAGTATGAGGTGTTGAGCCTTGGTTGAAATCCTCAACCGCGGGTTGGCGTAACAAGTACGAGGGCTTCAGTTCTATGTGGGATGTCGGGCTAAAGGGATGCTTAGTTTTGGGTCTGGCCTGGAGGCTGAAGATTTCAGGGCCCGACAACCTCAGGCCTCAAGGTTTAGGAAACCTCAGCCCTTAGGCCTCTGGATCCAAACCCAACTAGCCCGCAAAAAAAAAATATAATTCCGGGGGAGCAAACTTTTATATTATACGGCATCCGGGCAGCTGCTGGACTACCCCCTTTGAAATTTGATTGCCCGGCCTCGGTACAAAAGAATTTAATAAGGAAATCTTAGCCCTGGGCCCGGCCTGGAGACTGAAGATTTCAGGGCCCGACAACCTCAGGCCTCAAGGTTTCAGTGTTTAAACTTTTGATCTTTGGTCTCTCAGGCTCGGTTCAGAAGCGATTTATGGACGACAACACCATTCTTCGACAGCCTCGCCGAAATTTTGCATCGCCCGATTTATTTTCACAATTCCGGGGGTCCTCCTCAAATAGATCCCCCTGAATAATTTTTGGATTTTTTTCCACAATTCCGGGGGAGCACACTAATCAGGATACAACATTAGCAAGTTTCGGGTCTCTTTTTTTGGCATGGATGCGAGCCTTGTGCACATCATCCCATGAAGTTAGTTCGGAGTCCTTGGGGCCCCTTCTGTCATTTGCTTTGCCTCATCGCAAGTTTCCATGTCTGCTGTGGGTTGCGGAGGGTTGCGGAGGTTACGCGGTGCAACCCGCAGATGTCTTTGCCTGCGGTAGGGACCTGAGAGCTGCGAGGAGTGCGACCCTGCCCAGTGCGGTGGGGGGATTTTTTTGAGTCCTTGCTGTCGAGGTTTGTGCCTCTTCTGCATGAGCCCGGAGCCCATTTCCCGGCAACGATGTGGAAATCCCATCGCTCGCTCTCCTGTTTCCTTAAACCTTAAATTAAACCTTGCCCCAAGCCCTCACCCTAATCCTAAAGGGGTCACAAGCCGTGAGAGAGTGAGAGTCCAAGAGGCTATGGCCACGGTCCCTGGGTCAGCGCGCAGCTGAGCGACGAGTTCTTCGCATACGTCTACGCCAATCAAGAGAAGGGGCTGAAGGTGTGGTTTAGGGAAGTTTAGGGTTCAGGGGTTTAAGGGCTTAAGGGGTTGTTGTCATGAAGCTGTCGCAGATGCTGTGCAATGAGCCTCAACAAGCTGCAGCCATTTGCAGGACTTGTTGGGGCATTGGCGCAAGCCGCTGTGCAACAGCGAGGCTGGAGGGACCCAAAAGGACACCATGCGTCCTGATGCAAGGCCCTTGTCATGCCTCAGTGAGGCGATGGACCTCATCCTGAGTATGCTGAAGATGGATCCTCTTTCGCGACCAAGCGCCCGATCCCTGTAACGGCTGAGCAAAAGCGGAGGGACTCTCTTCTACATTCGGCATGGATCGAGGCAGAGAAATGCCTGCAGAGTGGTTGGCCCAAGTCTGAGCGCCTGTCCATGCTGGGGCGTGTTGTTTGTTGGTTGTCGGTCGTTGGTTGGTGGTTTTTGGTTGTTTGTTGTTGTTTGTTGCTTGTCGCTTGCTGCTTCTTGCTTCTTGCTTCTTGCTTCTTGCTTCTTGCTTCTTGCTTCTTGCTTCTTGCTTCTTGCTTCTTGCTTCTTGCTTCTTGCTTCTTGCTTCTTGCTTCTGTGGCTTCTTGCTTGTCTCTTGCTGCTGCTTGCTTCTTGCTTCTAGCTTCTTGCTTCTTATCCTCGGATCCTGTTGCTCATCAGGTGGTGGTGGTGGTGGTGGTGGTGGTATGTGGTGGTGTGGCCTTCGACATCTTTTGTGAGGCACTAGCCGTCACTCGCTCACTAGCACAGGATCCCAGCATATCCCAGCTTCCCGATATCAGCACAAGCTCTAGGCTTATTCAGGTGCAGTGGGTCTCGTGCACGCAGATGCTGGAGAGTGGAGCGGATATAGCGTTTTAATGTATTAATGGATGATACTATCGGCATCCTCAGACCCAGAACGATCCAGAACGATGCGCTGAGTCGTTGAGGCTGGCGCAGATGACGCAAAATCCTGTCCCTCGACATCAACAATCCAGTGAGATGATGAACTGAAACTCATTGACTTTGCTCAGCGGACGCAGCCCACGCGCTGCCCTTTGCCCGTCCTGGCCGGTCGGGCAAGCACTATCAAGCGGCACTTTGTGTGGGAAGCTGCACGCCTGCTTGCTTGCGTAACTTCGCTTTGTGCCACAGGCTGCGTGCCTGAGCGGGCCAAGTTCTTGAGATTTCAGTCTGCGAGTTTATATACATTTAATTGGGCATCGGGGGCGGGCAATGTTTGTCCGCAGTCCTGTCCGTACGTCGACTCATGTGTGCCCCGCCTGTATCCGAACCTTGCTGGCACAGCAGCTCGCCAGCATGGTGTGTGGTGGCCTGGAAAGCTGTCTGCTTCTTGGCAGCATCTGGAGAATCAATGTTAGAGAAGTGGCCTGCAGCCTGCCGTGCAGTTTTTGCATTTTTTGCTGTCCGCAAGATGGATGTCCCGTTGTTATCCCAGGTCCTCATCTTGTACAGGCCCGCCTGGGCACCAGGTGAGACAGCAGCTTGCATGCTTACCACATCGAGCCTGTACACATCCCGAAGTGGTCACGCTAGGATGCAAGCACATGTGGCACTGGAGAGCCAGTTAGTTCTTCTTCGTCCAGCTACAGTGGCTACTCTTTTTTTGGAGCATACTGCTACACTGCTTTCTGAAGGAACCTTACAAAGACACACGCGAGCAATGCAACTTTGGCTTGCCGGTGCTCTTGACTTCGCACCTGAGAGGTTTTGGCTCCTTCGCCCACGTGCAATTCATGTCATGCAGTTTAACATGAGGCATGGCGGGCCATTTTCCGTAGATGCCGCCTTACGAGAACTCAACTTGCAGTCAGAAGTGCAGACGTGCGAACATAAGAAGTGGAAAGATGACTGCAAGATGGTTCGTGGTGTCATGTTAGGCCTTGCAAGATTTGAATCCGCACCTTGTTGTGGCGCAAACTTTAAACACCGCTATCTGAGTCCCTTGAGCCAGCTGCTGTCAGACACGGCTCCCCTCCAGCCTGACAGACAGCAGCATGAGATGGTAGGAGTTTGAGAAGTTGTTTAGGTCAGGATCCAAACCGCCGCGAGAGAGACAAAATCTTCGTGGAGCCTGGTGCTTTTGTATGAATCTGCTCAGCAGATCCTTCAATGCTGCGGCAGCGCAAGAGCAGTCCCTATAAGATCCTCTAAGAGTCACGAGAGTTCAGCTCAGCTGGGCCCCCTCGTCAGATCGAAGTCCTGCGCTGTTACTTAGGATTCTTGATGTCTCGCCCTGCCCTCACTCGCCACTCAGGGATGGCTGACGGATTCTTGGTGTGGCCTAGATGGTCATAGCATATCATAGCTGTGTAGGGTCTATACGATCCCAAATAGATGGTTCATGAGATCTCTGAAAACGGAGGAGGCTAAAGGGCCGCTTCACAACTGGAAGCCCGGTGCCCCCGATCAACACCGGTCCACAATTTGCGGCGCCTGCAGATTGCAGATTGCAGATCTATGATTGCAGAGCGCCACGTGCCGCAGCTTAAGTTGTCCCTCAGACATGGCGCGCATGGGGACTAGGCGTTGCAGAGGCCTTGCCGTGCTGACATGTGCCTTGTCCGATCTGCGACGACAGTTCACCCTGGGAAACACTGTAAGCTGTGGCTTTGAGAGGAGCTGCTCATTGGCATCTTCTGGGTTTTCAAGGTGTGACATTCTTGGCTTCCGCCTGCAAAATTGAGGCCTTCTTGGCATCCTATGCTTCAGCCCTGTCTCCTGGTTGCACAGGCCGATTCGGATGCAGTCGCACAGATTCGGGATGGCCCCGGTGCCGTTCGGTTTCTTCATGTTTCTTTTGCTGACCATGGTTTGTCGGTTCCGTGGTTCGCAGGGATCGTACACAGCGACCGGATGTTAGTTCTCCCCTCCCGCAAACGAACCCTCCCCCAAAGGTGAACGCACCTGCAAGGTCCCGCCCCTGTTCTTAGTTAGCAGAACCCTTGCCCATTTTGGGTAGTAATACCACCAGTCAACCCATTAGACGATTATTCCTATACTCCCCCCTACACCTCACCAACTATATCACCACTACTACCCCATTACCATTTCCAGTATAGGAATAACCGATTACCTCATCCATATAAGAGGAATATTCCTATACTCCCTACTACAATCCCCCAAATATCACCACTACTTCCCCATTACCAAGACCAGTATAGGAATAACCAATTACCCCATCCATATTCCCTAAGGTCAGAGTTGTGATGCATCACAGGTGCTTTGCTCAACATGTCGTGATGATCATGGCAAACTCATTTAATCTCACACAGCTACAATTTTAAGGTCTGCTAAGGCAGGTCGACTTGACAACTTGACAGCATGGTCGCGGCACTTTTGTTTCAACTTTGTAGAACATATGGCGGACATGAATTCCTCCCCGCCTTCAAAATCAGCCCGACTGGAAGAGCCAGACTACACCGCCGAGTTGGCAGAAGCCAAGTCAGCCAAACAAGATGCAGAGCAGAAGTTGGAAACGGCATATGCCGCTGGACGGACTGACAAATACACGGAGCTTCTCGAGGCGAAAAGGGCTGAGGCACAAAAGACCATCGAGTGGGCTCAGCAGATGATCGCGCAGTCGAAGTCACGCTCATCACAGGCGCCAGTTCGGAAACTTGTGTTAAGCCCTATGTGTTTTAGGTTCAACTCCCCGCTTATCCCCACTACTTAGTCCCCTTAAGTAGTTCACGCTAGGAGGTTTGGTCCTTGCTAGGTTTTATTGCTTGGTTAGTTTGGTGGTTCGGGTGCTTAGGGATTTGGGGTGCATTCGTGAAAAATTGTTGCAGTCTTGCTTCATGCGTGCAAGTGACCTGCAAAGTCAGGACAGTATGATACAGAAGATCGAGAGCCTGCGACTGGACTTGGGCGAGGTTTTGCAGGAAGTGGGCGAGGTCAAGCAGGAAGTGGGCGAGGTCAAGCAGGAAGTGGGCGAGGTCAAGCGGGTCCAGGAGGTCCAAGGAAGAACTTTGCCCATGATAGCAAAGCAACTATATGGCTTCCGTGCTGCCACCCACTCCACCTTCGACCCCGAGTTTGAAAGCAAGTGCCAAACATATTATGGGACAACTTCATGCATGGTTTTGGGTCAAATTTTTCCAGAGTGTCTTCAAGACTGGGGTAAGGATTATTACTTTGGTTCCGATTATTTCCTGCCCGTGGGTGAGCACATCTACAAGAAGAGCATGGAGAAGGAAGGAAAAGACTTGGGCATCGTGACCCGACATCCTCGGAATGGACTGCTTCTGGTAAAAGCATTGGAGTCACAGTTCCAGGATGGTCACATGGTGCTGATTCCAGTGGAGGCAGCAGGCGAGCACTTGTGCAGTGACGCCGGCACTCTTTCTGATGTATCAGAACCCGAGACGACAGTCACGCTACAAATCCACGTTGCCGCATTTCTGCATGATGAACCTGTCATGTGGTCGGACAAGAAGCAGAAATTGATCCGGCCGGTTCCTTTTGAAAGACCCGTCACAGAGGAGCCGAAGGGGACGGGCAACAACAAAAAGAGCAAGAGCAAGAAGAAAGCCTTGCGGACGCAGCCCATTACGTTTGGTGAGTTGCATCAGCGAAGCATCGTCCTTCGAAAGCCTTTCATGGCAAGCCTTTACATGCAATTAGAGTTTGCTCACGAGACTCATAGTGAACTCCCTGATCCGAAAGATGCCAATGTTCGTGACAATTTCTTTGGCATATGCCAAGATCGCATGCACACCCTCATGCAGGGCTTGTGTCGTGAAGTGGAGCCGAAGCGAGTTCTTCCAGAGGAGGCTGCCTTCGCAGGCGACACGTAGACATGTTCAGACTGGGCGCTGTGATTCTCAATTGGTCCATGTGTGTCCGCGTGTGTTAGAGTTTCACCTGCTGCCAAAGCAATCGGCATGCTCGCGGATGGTAAAACAGCGTCGCTAGTTGCAGTTTTGTATGCTCGAACCCTGCCCCCCTAGGAAAGCCATATACACACACAATCGCAGCGAAGCACAAATGGACGCACAAACAAGTTTGACACATATGGTGTAGGGATTTTTGGGGCTTTTATTGGTCTTAAATATTAAAGAATGTTGATACATATAGAGACACACAAACCACTGAGCAAAAACAAACAAAAAACAAGAAACCAACAAAACAAATAGAAAACAAAATAATAAAATCAAGTTACTAAAAAGAAGCGTTTCACGATCATGATATTATTAACATCAATAATAATATTATGATCATCACAGTTTTTGATCTGCTATATAATCGCATATTGTAGTAAAGTCAAAATTTTGTCTCCGTAAGTGTATTTGATTTTCTATGTATGTCACAAGTATGCTTTTAAACACATCTACAACATAATCCTCGTAGCATGTTCTGTATGTGACCGTTTCCTTCATTCTCTCTGTATATTGGAAACTAAAATACCCCATCGTATTCAGAATAAAGTTTCTCTTATAACTGTCAAACATATGAAACAAATCTGTATCATTTATAAACTTCTTCATTAGTAATTTGGTTGCGTGATTATACAAATACGAACGTTCTATTATTTTCTTTAAACACTCCTTCTTTTTCTTGTTGTTCTCTAACTTTTGGTATGACTTATCAAACAAGTTAAAGATACAATGTATCTGTTTTTCAGCCTTACATAATTTGTTATATTTATCTTGGTTATAAATCTTCTCATACTCTAGTATTTTTGAACAACAATGACAGGAAAGATAAGAGGTAATATTATCAGTAATATTTTCATCAAATATGCACATCAGCACCTCTCGCTTTCTGTTTCTGTGTTCTTTGCATACTCCACATTCAAAATCAAAACGAAATGTTTTCATCATTGTATTCTAACATATATAGATACTGTTTCTTTAAATACTTTTCTTAAGAAATTAATTCTAAAGAATATTAACCTTGTAATAATTGTAGGTGTTTCGGTGACTTCTTATGAGAAGACATATTTCTAACGGATATGTAACAACCACATTCGCATAGTCGTTTTTCCTTGA